AGCACGTGGTTTAAAACGTGATTTAAATTCTCTGTGATTTTCACTTAAATTCCCATTGGCAGAGTTGTTACGGCATTTCTTTGCGATATGTCCTTTCTTTTTACAACTGTGGCATTTTGCATCCTTAAACCTGCAATCGCCGGCTAAGTGATTTCCTCCACACCGGTAACAATATCCTTGTTTCGAATTTCCAGAGTTGTTTCTTGTATATGATTTTGAAACTTTGTTGACTTGTTTCTGAAATGTTGCATTTGTCCCACTCGCTTGGATGTCTTGTGCGTTCTTCTCAGCAGTCTCCATAGCGGTAGCAATTTCCAATGCCTTGTCAAAAGTTAAATTCGGCTCTGCTAACAGCCTCCTCTGTATGCGGTCACTCTTTATTCCGACGACTAACCTGTCTCGTAAAATCGCGTTTAACGTGTCACCATAATTACAGTGTTCTGTCAGACTTCTTAGTGCTGCAATAAATGTCCTCACTGACTCATCGCTGTGTCTTGTTCTACTGTTAAATTTAAATCGTTGAATAATTTCTGATGGTACTGGATCTCCTTGGTCTTTCACTAGTTTTGTTAAATCGGCCAGTGATTTCGTTCCTGGTTTGGCTGGTGCTAATAAATCCCTTATTAATTTGTAGGTATTCTTCCCACATACACTTAAGAAAATATCCCTTTTCTGGTCTTCTTCGTCTATCTTATTAGCATTAAAATAATGGTCGATACGTTCTACATATTGTGTCTAATCTTCGGATTCATCAAAAGAGTCTAATTTCCCGTAAGTCGGCATTGTTACGTGTAGAAATTCACATTTATTTTAATATTCAGTTTTTTCCTCGTCGCCAAAATGTGTAATATATTTGCTATATAATATAATACAATCCAGTTTCTATAACTAATTTATTAACAAGTACATCGTTTGATGGTCAGATTACAGAATGACAACATGTGTATAAGAACTTCAATTGATCTATTTAATTATGTTTATTTAAGAACGTGCAGACATGTGAGAGTTGCTGATCTGTCAATTATAATTACTGTAACAGATGATACGGTAATAAAGTGCGGTGAACTTTATAACACTTCTCCGGCCTTAGATAAAAACAAATTAAAAACAAGATATGTCACAGATTTTAGTAAAATTTTGCATACAACTTTGGCTCGTTGAACTATAACTGAAAATCGAAAAAATAGTAACTTGACCTTAAATAGACAACAGCTACATGAAACTTGACCTTGATTAAGATACAAAAGTCGCAACATTTTCCTTTCATGATGCTCCGAACTTCTAATCCCTCGTTCCTATTGGACTTGGTTAGCGGTTACTCCCTCCTAAAAATATCTTTTTTGGCATGACACATATCTGGCACTAGTACGACCCGAATAGAGTATAGTTGTAGTGTCTGGGGCCACCATATGAAAGACCAAAGATAAAACTTGAAAAGGTAGAGACAAGCGGCTCGCTGCCTACACAACAACTACGATTACACTAGTAGTGTCAAAAACATGTGAAACAAGTTAAAACGGCCACCACTAGCTGAGAGACGAATAAAAACCCGACCTATTTCATTTTAGAAAGTGATAAACTACTTGTACCATTCCAATGTATATCTTGAGCAAACCACACATACATATACAAACGTCCAAGGACACCGAAAATGGTCGTACTTCTCTCGCAAAATCAAACAGTGGAACTTGCTCCCTCAGACAATCATTCTAACCACCTCTGTTGACAGCTTCAGAATCAGTTAACTACGGCTGTTCTAGCCATTTTCAAATAACCACACTCAAACCAAAACATGTACATAAAAATTATTATTTTTAATCACAAACACTTCAATTGTTATTGAAATTATTATTGAATTGTAAACATGTTCATGTCAATTACGCATGCGCAACAACATGCATTCTTCAGTATTGAAGCCTTGTTGACCACAAGGAAGAATTAAGAGAAGAAGAAGAAGATACGTAAGAAAATCTTCAGTTATGCACTAAACGTAGTATGAGGGAATCTAAATACCGAAGATGTCCATATAAGGTGTTTTAACACGACATATCACGTTCTTTTAATAACTTATTGCATTGCATTATTTTGGTAAATCAATAAGCAGAAAGTCAATAAATGTATTCATTAACGTCCAGTGGCAAATATTCTAAGCGTAGTAAGGGCAAAAACAGGAAGGTTTAGCACTCGAAACTAGAAGGTATGGTAGTACATGAGTCACGACCGAAAAGGTTGCATATGTCGAAGTAGCTCATTAGATAAACAGGAGAACGAGACTCTTCTACACTAATCATTCCTACCCATACCGTTCGTGACTGTGTATTTATACATCCCGCATGGCCATTGAAAAAAAGAAAGTGCAAATTGGAAGGAACTGATCAAGTTACGAGAGAAATGCTCGAAACAGTCGTTCCTACTGCATACTTTTATGGTTATGTGTTAGCTAAATTATGGAACAGTTACAGTTGCACAAAACGCTGCAGGACTTTTCGATTTTGTTCTGCCAGAAAGTAGAAGTTAGATTTTCTCTAACATGTTTATCTATATTAGCATATCGGTACACTTTCTTTTCATTATCTCAGTTATAGGGCAAAATAACAATCCGACATGTCCAGTGTATGCCGTTAGTAAATCGTTTCCTGAAACGACAACGGCAACTACAGTTTTGCTGACGTTAGCATGTACTGATGCAGATGTACCACCAGATGGCACTATATCATACAGTATTACTTCAGGAAATGGCCTGGGACTCTTTAGTATTGATAGTAGCTCTGGCGATATTAGTCTAGGTACAGCCATTGACTATGACGATTTTGTAACTCCTCATTCCTTCACGGTAAGTTTACACTGGCGATATTGAAGCTTACAAATAACAGGTAAGTAACCGATCCAACAATTTTAAAAGGACAATCGGAACTGCAATCACGTGGGCAGTATCTGAACGAGATGAATCAGAGATGTACAGACCATCACAGAACAGTAACAAGGAATAAAGCTTTCAATTGTCAATTTCATTTGCCAATTACCGAGTTGATTCTGTTATTACACACTTTAGACACAGGTTGTTTCCCTTTGCCAATTGTAGAATGGGTCTACCCGCAAACAAAATGGGCAGTGTTGCCTATGCAAATCCATGATAAAATGAATGTGATATATAGGGGTTTAATAAAGTTTTAAAGAAAAAATAACAACTTGATATTAAAATTTTCAGTTAGCTTAACAAAAGATTAAATGTTTACAATATTTGCAAAACTTAAAGAGTTCACATTACGTACAGAAATATTTGCTCTTTCCGCTAGCTCTTTGTTGTCAATAAAAATGTGTGTCCATCCTTAAGGAAACAATTAACAAATGGATCTCTAATTACAGGGTCAATTACGGAACTGGCAAATTGACATTGGCTTTCCGATTGTTTGTTTTAAATGTTGCTGATAAAGGTTCATCTAAAAAAGCGCTACAGACACCAAATTGACAATGTATTGTTTTCATTTCCTTTCACATCGTCGATACCGCTGCTGGTGCACTGATAGTCCGAGAGTACCATAAGTTCAGTAATCAGTGCTTTCGCACGGACGTGATTTATAACATGAAGCTTTTATTAAGGGCATACGATACAGTTTCAGGGGAGGTAATGACGTTGCTAACGTAAAATGTTATTTTTCGCGACTTCAAACTGTTACATATCGAGAAAACATGCATTTTCGACTGATTTTTATCATTCAAACTGATTTATCTTATAAACGAGTTAATGGACCCCACTTTTTGAATATGACACTTGGCTTGATTATGTATGAAGATTATGTGTGCCAATTTTTATGAACATTTCACCGATGAATTTTTTTTAAAATAGATAAATATACAGCTAAAAATGCCGTTGTTTTTTTATACTAAAATCATGAAAATGTGATAAAATGAGTTATTTCCAGAGAATTGTTACACAATTTAAAACACACTTATGTAGAGAAGATATTCCAGAAGTTTTTACCAAAATCTGCTTGCGTTTACCTTTTGAAACAAAAAGGTGTGACTTTTAAAAAGACAGAAATGTCCAAGAAACCGAAATGTTCAGTAAATGTCTAAAATTTCGACCCCATTTATCTTTAAAAGTAGCACATGAAAGTATATATTTTATTACATCTTTAAACTGCCTAGGTGAAAAATTGCTTGTATGCAAACTTTGGTCGAAAATTCACCGTGGGATCATAACTGTATCGTATGCCCTTAAATCAGGCCATTTCAGAATCTAATGCATTCTAGGTAATATTTTCAAAAGCGTACACCAGATCGTTACGATTGGCTAACCATATCCTAAACAATGGGAATTCAACCAATGACAGGACGTAATTTTCATTTTTGGATACGAACAATGATTTTACCCACAATCCTTTAGATTCGGTGAAATTATGAAAATTTTTAAGAAACTGAAGTTTCAACTATATAAGGAAAGATTGACCGTAGGTGGATTTTATCATTCTCTTTATTTTGTCATAATGTTCCTCAACATTTCAACTATTTTAACATCCTTGGCTTTCAAAGTTTTGTCTTTGAGCATTCTTGGTAAAGGTAAACCCAGAAAAGCTCCTTAAACGTACGTGACCAAAATCATGTAGTGTTTTGTTTACTGTACAACTCTAATGTAATACCAGATCTAGAGCTAATTTCTCTTGAAATTATTTCACAGTAGGGCCATTTTAAAAAAATGTCCTCCAATCGTTGCTTCAGTTTCCCAGTTTCGTATGTTTACTTACATGTTCTAACAAAAGTATGACATATTTGTAAACCTATATTCAAATTATATTCGATTAAGGTAGCTCAAAAATGCATTTTTTGTACATTGTGTCATATTTAGAGTATTTATTCCAAAACTGAAAGAGTGTAAGAAGTACATTCTGAATTAAACCAAAATTTTATTGAAACTTAACGCCACAAAAAGAGACGTTAGTCGAAACTAAAATCACAAGAGGTCATTACCCTGATTGTTTACTGTTACAGTAGATTAAAGAATGACATATGACCTTGCGAACACCAATGAAAAAGTTTGAATTTATATCTTACATTAAACACATATGATGATAATATTATCATTTCGGTTCTGATTGGTTGCCTCATGATGTGACTAAGGTTCTATTGGCTAGAATGAGATATATATTTTACAACATGGCGGACAGGAGATTGTATTAAATACGGGATAAAATTACAGCAGGGACGGATCCAGCCATTTTTAAAAGGGGGTCCTAACCCAGGATAAAGGGGGGGGGGGGGGGGGGTTGGTTCCAACTATATCCCCATTCAAATGCATTGATCGTCAAAAAAAGGGGGGGGTTCCAACCCCCGGACCCCCCCCCTTTTGGATCCGCCACTGTACAGTATGGGTATTCAAGATACGGTTAACAATTATTGCTTCATTTTGACTTCAGTTATGATACTGCGAATTCCGAAGTATTCCGTACATTTTTAAAAAAGGTTAAACTTGTATTCCAATGGGATCCCAGTCTAAATAGATAACGTACGAATATGTGTTTTGTTTTAAAATATATTTTCAGCTCAATGTTCAAGTCATTGATGGTGGCACACCTCCTTTGACCGCTGCATCTGATGTTGTAGTAGCCCTAAAAGTGATAGCTGTCAACGATCTAGATCCAGAATTCTGGTCTACACCGTATACTACTACTCTTCCAGAAAACAGACCTTTCGGAAGCTTTGTTTATACTCCAACTCCACTTGATTTAGATGTAATTGATGATGCTTGGACTCTACAAGCATTCACATGTAGCAAAGTCAGTACGTATATTTAACATTCTATTTCTGACATTTTTTCATAACAAATACAAGTTGTATAAATTAGCATACTGTATATGCATGCAGTATCTTAGTATAAGGTTACAAAACCATTATCTAAACATTATTCTATTTGATTTTTTACCACGAATTTCTGTACTCCGTATTGAAACCACATAAGTTCTAACGAGTCACATGGATTTGTTTTTGAGTGAAAATAAGTATAACATGAAATTTTTTAATTTGATGCCTCCGAAGAGCTTTTCTAGATTTACCTTCATGATGAACGTTCGAACCCCAAAATTTAAAAGCCAGGGATTTATAACTACATGAACACGCGAGGAGCTTATAACCGAATATAAAAGAAAGAATAGCCAAATCCGTCTGAGGACATCCTAAGGGAGTTAGAACCTTTTCAACAACTGACAAATAATTTCGAAATGTTCATTGTAATTATAACTACTTTTCCATTCATTTGATTATCCCTAATGCACTCGTTATGGCATTTTTCAAACGTGATTTTATAATGTAACAGTTCTTCAAACTTACTTAATTCTTCACCTTTGTAAATTTACAGTGAAAAATGAAAGACTTCTGAATTTGCAACATATTTGACCTTTTACCTTGCAGAATATTGATATACGGTCCGGTTTAGTGCTTTTATAAATGTTTTTTTTTTAATTTCTTTTCCATTGCAGAAGACTAATACAAAAAGCGGTTTCAATAATTTAGTAATGTTTTATTTTAATTGTTTATTATATGAATTTTTTTCCAGACTCTGACTTAATCACAGTCAACCCAGCAACATGTGAGGTGACACTTGCTGGTAATTTAGACTACGAGGTGGCTACATCCCATACCATTACCTTACAGATAGCAGATAAAGGTTTTACACCTGTTAAGACAGCACAGACCAATCTTGTAATCACTGTTACTGATGAAAATGACAACAGTCCGGTAAGAACTCATTAGCCTTCATTATTTAAGAATTAAATGATCCTTTTTCGAATGTTACTTGGGTGTAAAAGCATTCACCGAGGCACGTTTTTTATAAAGCTCTTCCGCGCTACATAAATGTACATAATAAACATGGACGCACGATCAACGATTTAAAACCCTTTAAAATTACAAAAAGAAGTATTCAATTCTTATAATTACATGCTTATGCTATACAACCATGAAATACATGTACTATTGAAGACAGTACGGTGACCTATAGTTGTTTACTTCTTTATCATTTGGTCTCTAGTGGAGAGTTGTCTCATTGGCAATTATACCACACCTTCTTAATTTTGTATATATAACATTTTCCGTGTGTTTTCCTTTGCATTGTTGTGACGTTATCACGAAAAGCACGTACTGTCATGAATGTTGATTTTTATTGGGAAATAAAATCTAATTTTGGAATGCCTCTAGATTGTTGTCAGCCAATCAACAGTACGGATTTTTATGAAACATACATGTAATACAATTATATCAAATTACAAAAGTATGATATGATTTTCGTGTGCACAACACGTGTCTCTGAAACAATTTTCATACGATACCAAAATTTTAAAACCTTTTAACATTGAAGCGTTTAAGAGCATTAAATGACGTAAACAGAATTTATCGTTTCCTCAATATTACAAATCCTCCAAAATAATATATTTTCAATTAAGACATGACAAATTGTCATATTCTGAAATCTAGAGGCGAAAAAGAACGCATTTTTGACGCAAAAAGATATATCAATCTGTATCATGTACAGTTCAAATCATGATTGATTGATTGTTGTTTGCTTAATGTCAAAGGCAGGGACAAATATTTCATCCATATTCAAGAAAAGAACCATATTGATAAATTCAAGATATAGGTTATCAGAAATGATAAAAAGAAGCGGGGATCGTAATTTCTACAGCCATCTAAATGCGAGTATGCAGGGTATGGGCATCATTTTAGATTTGCAACAAGCCATCTTTATCCCCATCAAATAGATGCTGCAATGTCTGTTAAAGTGAAGAGACCCTGGTACTCTCCCTTCACGTGGGATTAGATTAAACGTTCCTTTTTCGACTGGACGTGTTTGTGCATTTATACATCCAGCCAAGATGATCGAACGCCTCTCTTTAGCATGGGTTTTATTGTTGGATGGGGAAATTTAATGATGAGCATATTTCTATACCTCATGTACATTCAACCCTGTGGTCCCCATACATATAAAGTATATGTTTTATTTTACATTTCAGATATGCTCTGCATCTACATATGCCGCTCAAATTGCAGAAAGTGCAAGTATTGGCGACATCATGATAACTTTGACCTGCACAGATCTGGATTCTAATGCTAATGGTCAAGTATCGTATTCTATTACATCAGGAAATGATGATGGGTACTTTAGTGTTACTACAGTTGGTGCTAATGGGCAGATTAAGTTGGCTAAAACATTTGATTATGATAACTTTCTTGCTAAGACTACGTATCAGGTAAATTTTTAAAGTCAAAAATATTAATTTTAGTTTTTTGCTCCAATTATCATCCAACATCCAATTTAAACAGCAAATAATGTTGAGCTATATTTAATTAGCATCACAATACGTTTAAATGAAATGATAGAATAACATTTTTTACAAATATTTTTGTAACGATATTTCATGAAATATACTGATGATTCCATACATAACTCAAGCCTATGTTTAATTTTATAGAGTTTATACAAATACACGTAATATACTATGATACAATATTTCAAGAATAATGCTTGTATTGATTATAACTACATGACGAACATTTCATTATTTTAATGTCGTCAGCAGCACAAAAGTGTTCACGACTACGGTCTATTTGATCATTAGCAGCCACAATCCTGCCCAACCTTGACCCCCTTGACCAATGGATTACGGTTGAAACTTCGGCAAAAGCTCCAAAATCAAATATTTCATTACATACTGTAAGTAAAGTGGAAACATGGTAGAATATATAAGCTATAATTGAAGATCACATCAAACCGAGACGCTTTCTCCCGTTTTTTTAAATCACTGTACGCCTTTTATTTTACGTGACCTCGCCATTTCAAGTTTGGTTTTGTCACCTTTTTTCTTATACATTTTCGGGTAAATATTCAAATTTTGCCAGGCGTTATTAATTTGGTGATCTGTTTGTGGATAAGCCAAACTATTGGTAAATCGGGCTGTGATACTTTCCAGTTTGGTAAAAAATGAAAGAAGTTATGAAATGAGCCCTGGTGCAAAAAAAAAAAAAAACTGAGGAGAAATTATACTTTCCTCTTTTTGAATTATTCATCAAGTTCATTCATAGGCGTATCTCTATTCTTCGGTCTGGCAAAATTAAGAACATTCAATTATTTTCTTTGTAATCTCTGCTCCGATATTGAAAACTCGTCAAAGATACCAGGCTTATGATTTAGTACATCAACATAAGAGGGTGGTAAAGGGTTATTTTCGTGCAGCGTGTTTTGCCATTTTTATTTCACGTGCAGCCGTGAAAAAGGTTCGTTATACACCGTGTTTCGTGAAATCGGTAAAAAGATCAACGTGCAAGAAATTTTTAATTGTTCGTTCATCGTGAAATGGCAATTTTATTTCGCGTTCTTCCGTGCAGATCCCCCCTTTACGCCCTCACATAACACTCATCAGTGGAGCTCGAATCAAAACATTTGGAACGCAAAAACAAATACGAAGATAAAGAACATTTATGTTATCACCGTCATTCTGCTTATAGTTACTTCTGTTACCCATTCTAACACCGTACTCAGACTTCCTTTAAACGGAGTTTTACTGGTCGTATTGCTTTATATATGTGTTTGTTTATTCTACATTGGCTAGAGGTATAGGGGAGGATTGAGATCACACAATACATGTTTAACCCTGCCGCATTTTTGCGCCTGTCCCAAGTCAAGAACCTCTGGCCTTTGTTAGTCTTGTATTTTTTTTTTTTTTATTTTGGTTCATCTATATGTTTCGGAGTTTAATGTGACGTCCATTTTCACTGAACTAGTATACATTTTTGTTTAGGGGCATGCTGAAGCCCGCCTCCTGGTGCAGGATTTTCTCGCTGTGTTGAAGACCCATTGGTGGCCTTGGACTGTTTTCTGCTCTTTGATCGGGTTGACACATTCCCCGTTTCCATTCTAAATTTCATTGAATACCTAAAACCTCTAATAAGTTCGTTTTCAACTTTAACCTAGAATTCCAGCTGACATTTTTTCACCCTTATCATAACTACAAATGTCCGTTTTTCAATAAGTTTTAATCATCGGTTTTGTTTTCAATCTATATCACATCTTTCTTTAATTTTGACACTTCAGATTTTAAATTACAAAACCTGTCCTTTATCCAATTATATTTAAGATATCTAATGGATTAATATCTTTTCTGTCCGTAGATAACAGTGCGCGCTAGCGATGGAGGGACACCAGTGTTGTTCTCGGACGTTGCTTTAACTATTGATCTAATTGGTATAAATGACATCGATCCGACATTCTTTGATCCAGCTGTATTTACAACAAGCCTTCCAGAGAATCATAAAACCGTTGTTGACGGAACTGGATTTGTATATGAAACCGCAATAATTGATATGGATCTGATTGACTCGGTGCTTGGAACATTCCAACCGGTTACTTGTTCAATAGCTTGTAAGTCTTTGGTGTGTTACATGTAGTCATAGCAATACATCTCTTAACCGGTAGGTCAGTATTGTGTTAGTAATTATAGTCCCCTTCGACAAAGGTAGCCATTTTATTTAAGTAGCATGACTCTTTCTTCCAATTCTTTATCTCATACGACGTTTTCCGGGAGTTTCAAAAAAATTCAGATTTTGATATTTAAATGTAATTTAGCATAAAGGTATGCGACTAAGTGTTGCAAATCATTATGACATCTTTAAGATCTTGACCGCCAGTAGATTGTATCGTAACCAGGAGCATCTTTAAATGTGAACAATGAACAATAGTTGAAGTGTGCGTTCAATGTCACAGTGGAAATGTTTCTTAAATTTGAGAAACCGAGACCTGTAAACATCTAATGGACAATGGCTAATTTGAAAGTTTGTACCCCAAAAATAGCGTCAATTCATCTGTTTGTCTGTTATTTTCCAATCGCAGCGGTTTGGTGTACGCTTTTTAAAACATTCATCATATTCTGAAACGGTTAATCTATGAAGGCCACCGAACTTGCAAGACCCACATGGCAATCGTAAAATTTTTGGCGTTATAATTACAGTCATTCTTCGTTGTATCCTTCATTGTTATTTTATTCTTAAGAAGTCATTTCAGAAAATAGAAATTGATAAACTGGTAACAAACTGTTTCGTATAGAATCAACTAAGATGTCTGTAAAATTTATAGGCTTGAACTGATACTAAAATTTGATACTTATAACGTTACTCTTTTTTTTAACTGAATTGATATTCATGTTTATTTATGAGTTTTCACATCTTCATTTTTACGCCAATTTTTGTTTTTGCATTTGAAGAAATAATCTCATCATAGATATCAAGATTGAAATTTTGTATTTACGCCAGACGCGCATTTCGTCTACAAAAGACTCACTAGTGACGCTCGAATAAAAAAAAGTTAAAAAGGCCAAATAAAGTACGAAGTTGAAGAGCATCGAGGACCAAAAATTCCTAAAAGTTTTGCCAAATACAGCCTGAAATGTTACTTCCGACTTTTAATACTTCTTTAGTTTATATACCATTTCTTAATTCGCTTGATTTTGTTCAAACAGCTGGTGACACAACCATGTTCCATGCAGAAACAACTACAACATTTACATGTAAGATAACATTACTGAAGAAATTTAATCTTGCGACAGCAGCTTCACATGTTTTGACACTTCAACTTGATGATGCTGGATATACACCTGTTAAAACAGTACAGAAATCTCTAACTATAACTGTCACCGATGTCAATGATAATGCACCGGTAAGGATTTTTTGGCGCCATTAAAGAACAGAATGTTACAGTAATAGGAGTGTGCAGATTAGGATCTATACCTTGTTTTCAAACCTTTAAATATCACAAAGCATGACCTTTGTTATTGAAAATAGAACGGGGGTTGTTTCCCCCAAATGATTTCTTATTCCACAGGCAATTTAGATTTACCAATACGATGTGTCGGTGTCTCAACTCACTAGCGACATGTTTTCGCGGTCTTAAATTTTCAGATACCAGTAAAGTCGTCTGAGTCTTAATCCCGATTGTGACATTTTGACTGAGTGAATTCGCATGGTAAGTGATGCATGCATGGCAGAAGACGCATACCTTGTCGACACATCCGGTCTCGCTAATTTTGGAGTTCATGCAATTCTCGCAGTTTCTTGTATGTTACGTAGAATTATCTCTTTTTAATCGATTTACGAGATTTGAAAATGGATCAACTACTGTAACCTTTTAGAGTCTACCAAATTGATCTATTGTTAATTATTTTGTAGTGCTGAATATGAAGGAAATATTTTTTGGACTGTTAGCAAATTACTAGTATATAAAATTCAAGTATATCAATAAGGCTAAATGAAATATTTGACAATTTTTTCATCTTTTATCTTGGAAACTTTTATAAATAGACAGGAACTGTTAACCAAAAAATGATCTCAAAAAACACATATGACTTTTCAATTGTCTCATTATAATATTATCGCCATTGAATAGACTATTTATTGAATTGTTGTCTTAAAATGACAATTTTAGATCAATTTCAATATTAGCCTTAACATTTTATGTTGAAAAATCGTCAGACACAAAGTTTTGTCATATTTTTATTGATGTTTAACCTTTAAAATAATTTCTTTTATTATCACAACCGTTAATTTGAGACGGATACTGCTATACTTGAACATCGGTTAATTGTTCCAGAATTTCATTATTTAATTGACGTCAATTATAAAAAAGAATATAATAACATTTAGGATTTTTTTCTTATTTTGTAGATATGCTCTTCATCTGCCTTTGTTGCACAAGTTGCAGAAAATGCAAGTGTTGGAGACAAATTAATAACTTTGACTTGCTCTGATCTCGATTCGAATGCAAATGGCAAAGTTACATATTCTATTGTATCTGGGAATGATGATGTGTACTTCAGCGTTTCTACAGTTGGTGCTAATGGAGAGAATGGGGAAATTAAATTGGCTAAAACATTTGATTACGATGCTTTTCTTGCTAAAACTTCATATCAGGTAAGATCTGTTATCTATGTGTTTTATTAAAGAAAACAGAAGGATTAGGAGTATGTCAATAATACCTAGCCTAACTACCCAAAATAACCAGAAAAGGCATCTTAAATAGTAAAAGAGAGGCGAAGGATACCAAAGTGACATTCAAACTATAAGTCGAAATAAACTGACAATGCCATGGCTAAAAAAGAAATAGACAAACAACAGTACACAAAACAACATAGAAAATCAAAGACCGAGCAACACGAACTAGGGTCGATAACATGACTGAAGTTGTATAGTACAGTAATTTCCAAAAAACAGTCAAAGGTTCATTATATTAGTGATGCATGGCAAACCATAGTGTAATATCTTTATTGTTTCATTTCATGCTATTTTGATACTGAGAGCAGGAAACCAGATTTTTTTAATCGCCTTGTTCTTATGATATATTTGTTCTAAAATTTCATGTAGATTTTCATTTCAAAAGTTATCTCCATTTTGTTACTTAGTATTCATTCTATATGATTGATATCTTTTTTTACCTGACAAATATAACATAAATCATTGCACATTTTTATCGATGTATCGAATATTATATTCCAGAACTTTGATGCCGGTCTTTTTCAACAATAAATCAATCCTAGCTTACTTTTAAAAATTACTTTACTTTAACGCTCAGAGTTTAAAGAATTAAATGTCTTGAATTAAATGAACGTTTTCAAGTTGTTTAGAAAATAAATAATATTTCTGAATACAAAAAAAAACTTACAAAATATAAAACCTATAAATGAATATCTGAAACAATTTCAGTGAGCGCTACATATGTTTCCGAAGTAACAATCATCAAGCATGCTCGGTGTAAAGAAATTATGGACCACACACAAGATAAATATTTATGGACATCAAAACAAACAAAATGACGTACATAACAAAGCAGCGAAATAGTTAAAAATCAGATTTTGCCTGAGGTATTTGCACCTTTAATTTCAGCAAAATTATTGATTTATGGAGACAGGTCTGGATCAGCCATCTGCTGATACGGCACCTGCTGTTTTTTTGAGTGATCTAGACCTTACTGGATTTAAGAGCAGCAATTGTACAAGGTTTTAGATATAAATGACTAGAATAATTTAATCTGTACATAAATATTAGCTGTGATGTCACCGTGAAAGCATAAACATGTTGAAAATAGACATAATTGACTGAAAATTGTCATTTTCAACATATTTTCTGGAAAAATTGAATATAAGCCAAAGTCTTACCCCCAAAAATATATTTTAGCCACATTAACCGTCTTTCTGGGTATGTCTCTCACTCATATTTAGATATAAATGGTAAGAACTAAGATAAAGTTTGAAGCCAAAATGCAAATAGAGTAAGCCAAAATTAAACTCTATCATCAAGAAGATGTTTTGTCATATATATCTATATTATGTGTTTTGATTTTCGCATTTAGGTCCAAATTGTGGCCTTATACCTCATCTGTTTGTATTTGAATCTAATCAAGACCGAACTACTGGCTATTTGACGGATCTTACCAATAAAGAAACGTTCCAATGGAAGTAAACAAACAATTGATATCGATAGGCATGCACAACACGTGTTGATGTTTTTTTTTGCCCGACCTACAGTAGTTGGTGATATAATATTTTTCAGTCTTTGTGAACATTAGTTCGTCCTAGTTTTAAGTTTAAAGTTTTGGGTTAAGTTGGCTTACCATGATTTGGTGGTCACATCAACTTCAGAGATGATTGTTACCCATATTTTGCGGTTCATTAAACATAGAAATGTAGCACTCCTAACAATATTCTCGCTATTATCATTACAAGAAGATGAACAATAAGAAGTGTATGGAAAAAGATCGGCAAATATAGTTTCATTGCAAAATATATTGTTCAAAATGACTGCACAGTATTTATGGCTGAGTTGAATGTTATTACAAAAACATAAAAGACCAGACACGTAGAGAAGATTTTTAAAAAACAAGATGCAACTTGTTCAAATCAACGAGTCCCTAACATCAGTAAACATCCCCCTCGAAAAAAAATCGGTTGCGGAATCTTTATATTGTTCCGAAATTTACTCTTTTTAATCTTCTTTAGATAAAAGTACGCGCTAGTGATGGTGGGACACCAGTGTTATCGTCTGATTTGGATTTAACTATTAATTCAATTGGTATAAATGACAACAACCCAGAATTCCTAGATACAGGAATATTTACCACAACTCTTCCTGAAAATCAAAACACTATTGTAGACGGAACCGGATTTGTTTATGAAACTACAATATTTGATTTAGATCTGATTGACTCAGTGCTGGGAACATTCCAGCCAGTGACTTGTTCAATAGCAGGTAAGTTTAATGTGTTTTTCATTAAAGCATTCGGTATGAACGTTAAAAAAATTAGGGGGTGACATCCAGAAAAAGTTTTCATTTGGTTTTCTTTGCATTTGTGGCGTCATTGAAGTTTAACCTTACGATTGGTGATAGGAATCGTTTTAAAACTGTTTCTATGAATATATCATTTTGAAACTTTTTCATTTGCATATGTCAACATAATTACATGAAATGTTGAGCATGTCTAAGTTGTTATTTTGTAGTTTCCATATGCGGTTTAAAATGTCTTATCTGTGTAAATTTAGTTTCTGTATTTAAATCAATTCATATAATTTTAAGTCATATCATAAGTTTAGAAAAAGGAGGAAAAGATACAAAAAAGAGTCAGATGACACCAAAGGACACTCTAATATCATAAGTTATTAAGAAAAACCAACAATATACTAGTATTAGAGAAAATACCAATTGTAGCTGAAAGATATATTTGTAAGGTGAATTGAGGATTATTTCAAAATATGTCTATCAATAATTATTTCTTAATATCGTTGACGACAGCTGGAGACACAGCAATGTTCCGTGCAGAAACAACAACGTCCCTCACATGTAAGATAACACTGCTGAAAAATATGGATTTCGAGACTGCTACGTCACATGTGTTGACGCTTCAAATTGGTGATGCAGGATACGTACCTGTTAAAACAGTACAGAAATTTCTAACTATAACTGTCACTGATGTCAATGATAATGCACCGGTAAGCTCTGTCAAAGACAGTTTGTTGCTCTTTGAACACTTCAAGTTTGCGTTTATTTCTTAAATAGTAATGATATTTTGTACAATGTCGTTTTCATGACAATTGCTTTCCTTAATGATCAGGGACTAGATAAGGGGCGACAAAAAAGTTTGATGTTTTTTACTACTCTAAAGCTCTGATGGTAGCTATAGGTTTAGTATAAAACAATATTATATCAATGTCTTATAAACATGCGAGTAAAAAGAGTCAGAATCCCATTTATTGAAGAATGAATACTATTTTATGCGTCGTAAGGGCATACAAATCCAGCTATGTCTGCACCAGCTATGCATACACCATCTTACATATATTTTGATTTTATGTCTTTTTTTGGAAACGACCTGTCTTTATTTTTTATATTTCTGCTATACACTAATTGTTGTCTCTCTCTCATTTGAAATGTATGTTAGGTTTCTGTAATGACTTAATTTAAGATTCTAATTACTTCTCCCCTTTAAATTCTCAAATGATCTAGCTTTTTCATATTGAACATTAGTTTTTTTCTAAGTTAAAGTTTGTCAAGATCGATTGTTCATGAGGATACACAATTAACTTACTGCACTGAATTTTGATAATTAGATTTTACCAATATAATTGTGAGTTATTGCTTCTTGATTTCTAAAAAAAATATTTCTTACAATAATTGTAGATTTTTGACACATATTTATGTTTGAAATAACCCTTTTCCAAATTAAGAGTTTCACAATCATTTCCTGTTCGTACTTGAAGTAGTCCTGATTACACACCCGTGCTCTGTGAAATTAGACAGCTACAAATATGCAAGTATTTTCAACAGGTATGCACGCCTGATATACACACGGTTACTATACAAGAAGATGCAACAGTAAATACAGTTCTGAAAGACCTATCTGGCACATGTTCTGACGTAGAAACATCAGCAGCAGCCCTAACATACAGCATTACTTCCGGTTAGTGTAAAATATTTTTTTTTAAATAAATGTAATTGTAAAAGTCATACTTATTGCTGATTTATTACATAGCTGTTCTTCTCTGTCATAGATGGTCTTTAAATAAGTTAGTAAATACTATTAAATTTCCTAATTAAGTTTTCATTGTCCTATCAACAAAAATGTATTTCTTAACACCACAAAGAGACAAAAAAACATCTAGAATTTCAATTTTAAAACTGCTGGAATTATTTTGAAATTATATCAAATTTATGTTATCATAAATATGATATTTTCTTTTTTCACCTAGTAAGTAATTGTAAAGAGAGAAAAAAACTTGGCTTTAATTAAATCGGTCGTATTCCATCGTGCTTAGGGACCGGTCAAAATTTCTCAAGGCATGGGACCGGTGCAAGACATAAATGATCTATAAAAAAAGTTGAGGTCCCATGGTTAAACAAATGAAGAAACGTTTATGTCCCATTCTATTTTTTCAACAAAATAATTTGGTGTCCCATGTTAGTTCATACAGTATAAACTGTCCTTCAAACCATTGTGCTAGACAAGCATACATCATTCAAATACTACTGACATGTGGGTTGATGACAACGCTTTTAAATGTGTTTCACTAATGTTTAAGAATGCCATGTTTTACACGACAAGTAACTTGATATTGTGTTATGTCGAGCAGTTTGTTGTCATATTTTATGAAAATCCAAGTTGAATTAAAAAAGTAATAAAAAAAAATTAAATGTGACCATCTGAATTTAGTTCAAACTGAAAAATATAGCTTTTTTTCACATATTGATTAAAACATTAAATTTGACAGCAATAAACCAAATACCAAATAACTTTGGAATTTGTAAGATATGTAAATAAATGAGATAGCTGTCATGTTTTATGAAAATCCAAGTTGATTTGAAAAAGTTATGGAAATTTTTAAAGGTGACCATCTGAATTTTGGCCAAATTGAAAATGAAAATTCTAGCTTTTTTAACAGTCTATTAATTAAAACATTAAATTTGACAGCAAAAAACAAAATACCAAATTATTTTGGAATTAGTAAGAATGGTATATACTTGAATTAGCTGCCTTGTTTAATGAAAATCCAAGTTGAATTAAAAAAGTTATGAATTTTTTTAAAGGTGACCATCTGAATTTAGTTCAAACTGAAAAATCTAGCTTTTTTCACGTATTGATTAAAACATTTGATTTGACAGCAATAAACAAAATACCAAATCATTTTGGAATTAGTAAGATTAGTATATAAATGAGATAGCTGTCATGTTTTATGGAAGTCCAAGTTGAATTGAAAAAAGTTTTAGAAATTTGTAAAGGTGACCATCTGAATTTAGTCTTAACTGAAAATTGTAGCTTTTTTCATGTATTGGTTAAAATATTAAGTTTGACATCAATAAACCAAATACAGAATAACTTTGGAATTAGTAAGAATAGTATAACAATGAGATTACTGTCATAATTTATGAAAATCCAAGTTGATTTGAAAAAGTTAAAGAAAATTTTAAAAGTGACTTTCTGAATTTTGTCTGAACTGAAAATTTTAACTTGCAGAATGTTAGATGCCAACAAATGTGGGAAATGATATAAGTGAAATGTGGGAATTGATATAAGTGACTTTCCTTGTGTCTGTTAGGGCCATATACATAGTTTGCAGTCAGAACCTTTTTGATTTGATTCAATAAAAAAGTCAATGTCCCATGCACACCTAATTAAGATGTAAGATTAAGTCAGGTCCCATGGAAATTTTGCTTTAAAAAAGTGCATATCCCATGCTAATTTGCACCGGTCCCATGCCTTGAGAAATTTTGACCGGTCCCTTACATGAAAAAGAAGAAAGACGAATTATCTAAAGAGATATAGCTATTTTTATTTTTTCATTAGGAGATACCACAAAATTCCAAATGAACGGAGCATCATTAGAATTGAAATCAACAATAGACGTAGATACAGAGGCAGATCAATGGTCAATAGAAATAACAGTCAACGATGCGACACCACAGATATATGCCACGCCTACTAAAATATATGTAATTGTTATCGTTACCGGTATTGACGATAATATTCCTGTATGGCATACAGATCATAATGGGGTTTATACGGCTTGTGAGTTCTGTAATATTTCACAAATTCTGTATTTTATTTTATACGAACTATATTTTGATAGGATTCAACAACCATATACACGTAATTAACTAATATAATGTGTATATCTCATTTGAACTTGAATCCGTTGAATATTACGAATTTAGGGACTCAAAAATACAGACGCTCCAACCATCTCATAACAACTGCTTAGAACTTCCACATACTAAAATATATAAAGTGTACAGCAGTATGGGAATTATTGTAATACGTTTGTTTTTGTCATTTCAAATTCCGGATGCAGATATTAAGTATACTTGTTTTCAAGTTTAAAAACGATCTGTCGTTTGCTTGTAACAGTTTTGAAGAAAGAAAAAAATGTTTTGATTATTATGGTGTAAACGAATATATAAGTTGTGTGATATGGAAAATTATTATTTTTCTTCACATAATCTGAAATATTTCTACAATGTTCTTTTTTCAATATTCTTTCTTGTCAAAACTGTAACACTGGCGAACATAGTCACTATCTTTAAGGGAGCTACCTTTCGATTTGATGACAAATTATGTATAAAAAGTCAGGATAAACTAATAAAAAAAATGGCAGGACCGAATAAAGTGAACAAAAAGGCAGGACCGAGATTACAACTAAAAAAAATGCAGGACACAATTTTTCATCCTAGCCCCATCCCCCATAAAAATCAAATGGTAGCTCCCTAATGAGTGATCATAGATGTAACTTATTCACCTCCTTAATTGAACAAATCAAGCGAAAAAACTATTTAAATCATCATAATGTATATCGTTCTAAACATCAACAGCATAATAAATTTCACAAAAGATTTAAATCATAATTTTCATTTAAAAACGTTTGCTGCCCTTATTTTTAAAGAATTATCTTGAAACTTTGTAGCCATAGCAGAAAACAGTGCAGTTGGAACACCAGTTCAGACTATCACTGCTACTGATGTTGATCAAGCTGCTACTGCCGATTCCACAATTACATACGGCATTGAAACAGTGACTTCGTTGTTTGGTATTGTGGCAGACACTGGTATGTGATTGGTCCTTATAATGTTTTTTATAAGTGGATGTGATTAGCTTTTTACCCAAAGGATTTTTTTTTAATGATTTTTTACAAATGTTTATTTGTAAAGTCTCTGATACGGATGTCGTATTCAGCTGCTTTGAAAGAGTGCTGCACTAGTGACACCCGTCATATTACTCTAGTTTTAAGTATAGAAAATCAGTGTCAATTAATTTTTTCAGTATTATTCAAAATACATCATATGCAAACATGCTATATTTTATACTGTTCGAAAAAAAATAACCAATATTTTACAAGAGATATTAAAACAAATGTTTATATGTTTGATATACATGCATTTTTTTTAGTTAATTTTTACTTGTTATTGATTATAGGAAAAATATACATAACTACAACGTCTTTAGATAGAGAAACGGCTGCCTCGCATGTTCTTACTATTTCTGCATATTCATCTACAATGACTGCATCAAAGATTACGGGAAGTATAACAATTACCGTGACAGACGAAAATGATGTTACGCCTACGTTTACAGAGGTATAATGGATAATGTAACAGTATTACCTTACTGATAATTTTACACCGTAACGCGTCTTTGCTGAGGTTATAAGATTGTGAACGCGCAGTCTGTCAAACATCGATACGACATAAGCATAGTTACCGCAGTGAACGGTATTATTTAGAATAGTTTCGTGACAGGCATGGATATTTTTTTTATATTACATTAACTCATAAATAGAATTAGACAAAGCAAAGAAACTAAAAATTGGAAATTTGTTGAACTCTCAAGTAGGTGTACATATTGAAATATGGAAATAGAGAAAAACAACATGTTTCTTTCTTTTTTAATCTTTACTTTTTTAATCTATAAAATATATTATTAAATATGTATTAAATACTAGTATGGTCCAAATTTTTAATTGCGTTTTAGGATATTTACACCGTAACATTACCAGAGGATACTGCTGTTACAGCGATTTCGTTTACACCACCATTATTGGCATCAGATACTGATGATACTGGAGTAAATAGTCAAATCACATACGTGCTAACAGGTACTTACCTAGTAGATTTTCTTAGAATTGTTTTGTTCATACAATTTTTAAAGAAACAATTGGGCACTGTAAATTTAGCTGGCATATTGAAGAAACGGTACCAACAACAACATAAACCAATCACAATAAAAGTTCTCAAAAGACTACACTTGTCTGAAAAATGTCTGATAATTATTATTGTTGGGTCTACAATTTTGAATGAAAAATCATCTGGAAGGAATATAAAAAAAAAACACGAAATACTGAGGTACTGATTTGGTCATGTTTAACCCTGGTTATGGCTGTTCTTGACAGTAAAATTACGATAAACTTTTTTAATGATTAAGGTGGACACACAACTACTGGCTGTGAAATGTCTGTCAACTCCGGGACTGGGATTATTTCATTAACAAATAATATGGATTATGAAAGTGAGGCGTCATGTACTGTGATAATAGAGGCTAGGGATGGTGGCACGCCTAACTTAGTAGGAACAGCTACAGCCGTCATTACTGTTACTCCAGTGAATGAGTTTAGTCCAAGTTTCACTGGTCTTCCATACAGTAAAGATGTTTCAGAGGACACTGCAATCGGTAGGATGCTTAATCATGTCTAAAATATCATTGTTAACCTTATTGTTGCAGTAAACATCTATCAAACTTCATTACTATACATAAAGATACTTCATAAAAAAGATGCCTTGGATTTTCCATGACTGAAGTTTTGCTTTTTGATTTGATTTTGATTTTTGGTGTTTTAACGCCACTTTTAAGCACCGCTTTTGGGCTATTTCATGGCGACCAGTTTTTATTGGTGGAGGAAGCCGGAGTGCCCGGAGAAGACCACCGACCTTCGATAGGAAAACTGACAATCCTAGTCAATTAAGATTGGAGTCGAGTGTACCTGCACGAGCGGTGTTCGAACTCACAATATCAGTGTTGACTGACTAGTGATTACAGTAGTAACTACTTAGACCACTCGGCCACCGAGACCCCCTTTTGCTTTTTGAAATGAGAAACCTGAATATAACAAAATGGAAAATCACCAGGGAAATCACAAATAAACAGAGAGAGAGTAAGCGAGTTTTGCTTGTATATATGTTTTTGATATCCTAGTTGACAAACGCCTTTAAAAATGTCAAGATATTGAAATATTTAATGCATATACTAACTCATAAAATTCTCAACGATAAAAGTATAAAAGAAGAGTTAAAAAATAAACCAGCATCATAATGCAGTATGTACTATAATTAATACCAACAAATACATATTTAATCTCTTATATACTACGACTACAGTATCAAAATTTACTTATATAAATGTTCGTATAGTTAAAAATAAATGCGTGTGGCGGATCTCATTCTTATTAGTCCTAAGTCAAAATTACATGTTTGTTAAAATAGCAAAGGCACAACTTCTGTATTGATTGAAGGAATCAAAAATGAAGTCAATTGACAGGTTAAGATAAACATAAATTCAATATAGATAAACTAAACATTAAACTTTTGCAATAACTTTTATTTCAGTAATTTGTTTCCAATAACAAACACTTTAATAGGTAGATATGTGAACTTGTGAGAATATCTACTTGCATATGCTATTTTTTAGGAACATCCATATTTACAATAGCTGCAACAGATGTAGATAACGGAGATGATGGTCGAATTGAGTACTCCCTGACGACACACAATGATATGTTTAGTATCGAACCAACCACAGGAATCATACGACTTTTGACAGGTCTAAATAGCGAAGCATTAAATATTTACACAGTAGATGTCAACGTTTCTGACCTGTCTACCACTTCCCGATTATCTACTGCAACGTCTGTAACAATTAATGTCCTTGATGTAAATGAATTCTCACCCAGTTGCATCAACGTAGTAACTATACGATTATCCCCACCTGTTGCTGTGTCTGATGTTATTTACATATTGAATTGTACTGATGATGACACTGGTATTAACGGTCAGATTAACTACGGTTTCGTTACTGGTAATACAAACTCCGACTTTAGTATTGCAGCAAATGGAGACGTGACAGTGGCCAATGCTCTAAGTCAACTGACGTATAATTTAGAAATTCAGGCGGCTGATCAAGCAACTGTACCAAAAACGTCATCAGTATATGTTAATGTCATTATTGCATCATCTCCTACTTTTACTGCTCTACCTGACACAAAAAATGTGAATGAAGCGACATCCGTCGGAACAGTTCTCTATACTGTAACAGGAAATTCTGCAACTGCTTCTAAAACATTTTCAATCACAAATGGCAATGGAGATAATAAATTCACCATCAATTCTTATACAGGAGCTATATATCTTCTTAATACACTAGACAGAGAAACCATTCCTAATTATGTTCTCACAATTCGTATATCGGATGATATTAGTGTTACATTTACAGATGATATGCTAACATTGAACATCCTTGACAGTAATGACAACTATCCAATATTCTCAGCCGACTTTTTTAACATCCCTATTGTTGAAAGCGTAACCCCGACTACAGAAATTATTGATTTGGTAGCAACAGATGCTGATACTGGAATAAATGGGGATATCGTATATGCTATCACGAACGGAGATCCTAGTAGTGTATTTACTATTAATGCCGTCGGAAAATTAGTCTTAAATTCTGCTCTTGATGTAGAAACTGTATCATCATACATACTTATCGTAACAGCAACAGATGGTGGAACCCCACCTCTTTCAGGTTCAACAACATGTTTCGTAGCCATTTCCGATGTTGATGAATTTCCTACAGAGTTTCTTTCAACTGCTGCTGGCGGAATTTATTCTACATCACTAGCAGAAGATACGGCCATAGGAGCTAAGGTTTTTAACATATCAGCACAAGACCTTGATGCTACTGCAAGCATCACATATTCAATAACTGCTGGAAATACTGATCAATCTTTTGTTATGGATCGAAATACTGGTTTTATATATCTGAGTAAGATGTTAGACAGGGAAACAAATGCAGCATATAGTTTAACCATTCAAGCTGACAACGGGTTAGGGGATACATCAACAGCTACATTTAATATTCAGGTAACTGATGTCAATGATAATCAACCTAAATTCACACCATCAACTGGAAGTTACAATGTCGATGAAAATGAGGCTATTGGGGCTCTTATTGCAACAGTAATTTGTACAGATGCTGATGATGGACCTAATTCTAACCTAACATACACGTTAACAGCAGGAAATACCGGAAATGCGTTCCGGCTTGATGGGACGGTAGTTGAAGTAAACAGCGCTCTGGATTATGAAACAACAAGTCGGTATATTCTTGTAATAGAAGCCAAAGATCAAGGGACACCATCAAGGTCTGCATCGATGTCAATTATTATTGATGTGAACCCAATATATCCTCTACCTGCATTTATTGCTGCTACAGATACTATCTCAAAGTTGGAAAATACAATAGTGGGCACAGTAATTTATGATTGTGATGCAACTACCGCCGGTGCAACTGAAGGTATAGCTGGTGCTCTAGGAGATTTAAACTACATTATCCAGTCTGGAAATGGTGAAGGCAAATTTGGCATAAATGAACATTCTGGGGAAATACAAGTAGTTGCTGTATTGGACAGAGATACAACTGCAAGTTACACACTTTTAGTTAAAGCCGTTAACCGCAACGATGTCACAAAAAAAGATTTCTTGTCACTCTCAGTGAATGTAGGGGATATAAACGATATAACGCCTTCTTTTGGTAGTAGTGAATACACATTTTCAGTAGATGAAAATGCAGCTTTGAATACTGTAGTTAATACAATGATAGCTTTAGATGGCGATGACGGAGCTAATAGTGCGATAGTATATTCATTTACAGCTGGTGAAAACATGATACATTTTGATTTATCTTCTTCAGGGGTTATAACCGTCAACTCTGCCCTCGATGCTGCAACTCAATCTTTATATTATCTTACTGTATCGGCTATAGATGGAGGAACACCATCTTTAACCGGAACATGTAAAATTAAAATAAATATTAACGATGTAAATGATCAAACACCGTCATTCTCTGCAGCTATGTATAATTTAAGCTTGTCGGAACTTGTCAATGTGAATGACATTGTTTTTCCGTTCCGAGCCAGTGATGCAGATACTGGACCTAACAGCATTATAACGTATAGCATTGCTTCGGGTAATGGTGATTTTAGGTTTAGCATTGATCCCCTGACTGGTGATTTGAAATTAGCTGGAATACTGGACCGCGAAACAACAGATAGTTACGTTCTTGAAGTACATGCAAGTGATAGTGGCATTCCAGTTAACACTGGAACAACAGTTCTGTCTATTACAGTCACCGATGCAAACGATAATGACCCTGTATATACGACTGGTTCTGGAACACCAACTTTATATGTGACTACTTCAAGAACTACCGCAGTCGGAACTAGCTTAATTACCACCACAGCAACTGACGCTGATATAAAAAACAACGGACAAGTTGAATATTTTATAATAAGTGGTGACCAAGATTCATTGTTTAATATCAATACCATAACAGGAGAAATAACAACAGCAAACAGCATCGTACCTGCTAGTGATTTATATCATTTAGTCATTCATGCCGTAGACAAAGGTTCAATAAGACGAACAGCTACAGCCACTGTTCAGGTCACCGTTGATCCTCCATTGACTCCAAGCGCTAACGATTATACATTCAATGTCAATGAGGATGCATCGATTGGAACAAATATAGGTACAATAGCTCCGGATCCAGTACATGCGCCTGGCGCAACAATCAACTTTTTTATAATCAATGGCGATACAAATAATGACCTGGCAATTAATCAAAATAATGGACTTATAAGTACTGCAAAACTTCTTAATCATTTCACTAAATCAGAGTATTACATAACCGTTTTCGTTGAAGATCAAGGAGACACTTCTATCAAGTACAATAAGGCCGTTCATATAGCAGTTGTCGATGTAAATGATAACACCCCTTTTTTCCCAGTTCCAAATCTTGTACTTTCAGTCGTAGAAAATTCACCAGTAGGCATATCTATTGGCAGCATAACAGCAAATGACAACGATGCTGGTGTATTTGGTACAATAACTTATGAAATTGATCCAACAAATACTGTAGCCGCTTCTTTAGTAACGGTGGATAGTGCCGGAAAAATCTCATTGGTTGCATCTCCGGATTATGAAGCTCTTACGTTTTTCTCTTTTTTCCTTTTTGCAAAAGATGGTGGAGCACCATCTTTAACAGGAACATCTACAATTAATGTAAACATTATAGATGTTAACGATGTCGATCCATCTGCCGTTGGCAATCCTACACCAGGATATTTTTCGCTCGAATGTCCTTCGAATGCAAATACACAAGACGTTATAACGATATTAGAGCCAGATGATTTTGGAATCACTACGTCGACCACTGATACAGTGCAATACATAACAATGAACGACCGTGGAGTATTTGATTTTAATAGCACATCAGGAGAATTCTATGTTAGAAATTCAAATTATTTGTACGACCAGACACGTTACATAATGTGGGTTGTGATACGGGTTCAGTCGGCTACTGGACAGTCGAATGGAACATCTGCTATGATCAGAGTTGACTCTGTTACGCCCAGTCTACATCTGGTTGTTCTGAAACATAGTGTCACTGCAGATGTGGTAGAATCTCAAAAGTAAGTTACATTATTGAAGATTTTGTTTTTAAAATTTGTCTTCGATATACTAGTATTTACTTAATTCATATTTAAGAGAAATGATTTTGAAATAATTGCAATTGTCGGAAGAATAATCATAGAATTAACACATTCAAACTTCAATTAATATAAAATTTACTTCTAAAACAAAACGTGTTGATTTTACATAAAACAATTCTTTGTGTATTAAAGGAATCAGCTAAGGGCATCTTTGCAAGCAATCTTTCCCACAAAGCGAGTTGAAATATGGAGAATCGATGGAATATCAGCAGCAAGGCGAAGACGACTGCTTGCTTCTCAGTGAGTATATATTTAGTAAGAATATTAGTCAAATATAGAGATCTCATTAGTCCTACAAAATGAAAGATCGTAGACGAATATGTCTCCAAACGGCATGTTTTTATTTCTTCTTCTATTTTGAAAGGGGGAAAAACAGGGGGGGGTGTGAAATCGCGCATATTTCTTTAAAGGTTAAATATATTTTTAATAACATGTTAATCTTTCTATAAATCATATTGGTCAAATGTGTGACAGTTTTTTTTTATTGGTTTTGTTTATTGGTATTATTTCTAAAGAGTATATATCATAAGCGCTTTGCTAGCTAGAACATATATGATATATGCCAGAAGCACATACGATCATCCCCTGGTTGTGTTGGGTTTTTTTTTATATTAGTGTTGCTCAGTCTTTAGTTTACTACAGTGTGTACACGAGTGAAAAATTCATTGAGTTGCAATGTCAATCGGAACAGCGGATAAAAATTAGATGTACACGATAGCAAAAAAACAGTGATGTTTAGTGAAATCGGGAACACAGGTCCTATTTTGTCTGTCGTAGTGATACATATATCATTTAGTAGGCTGTCCACGATATAGACGTCTGTTCGTTGTTGAAAACAGTGTGTTATCCGTTAGACGTATATTTTTTTTTCTGTCGCTTAGTTCCTTTTATATGTATAGCCCGGACTCATACCTAGTATTTGAGTAGTTGCATGCAAGTTTTAACAATTTAGAGTTATACAATAAAAATTAATTATGTAATTCATTTGAGTACCGACGCACTGACCAAATTGAAACCAAAATGTAAAGCTGATGCTTTAATAACATTTATTATCTCCATAAAGCATTCTGCTCTATATAATTCCTTTTTGAACTTGTGAAAATCGAGGTGGAATGCCTAGTATATATTTAATATTTTGGTTTTTTTTTTTAACTCAGAAAGACTGGTGTTTTGTGTGGAATGGGTTAAGGATTGACTTTCGGACAAACTGAGTTGCAAATTTACCCTCCATATACATATATATGTATGTAAATATATGTTTTATGATCATTCCAGGTCGGAAACTACGTTTTATGTTGTGGAAAGCACAGCAGCAGATACTATAGATGGAATTGAAAATGAAAAGAATTTCATGACACAGTCTGATTTACTTACTGTCTTAGGTCAAGGAGATGGTACACCTGCATCTGTACTCACCACTGCTGCGTTTACGTCATTTCCGGTGACATCAGTGGAACCTTACGTTGATACAACAACATCTCAATCTCAAAACTGGGCTCAGACTACCGTCGGTATTGCTGTTATAACAACCATTGTCTGCGCATTAGTCCTATTAGCTGCAATTTTGATATTGTATTTCTGGTTGACCAGAAATGCTGATAAAGAATATAGGTATATAATTTTCTAATTGTCTGATTATCGCATATGAAGATTGTATAATTTCAAACTACTGGTTTGAACCTTTCTTTTATAGATATAGGAAGATGTGGTATGAGTGCCAATGAGACAACTCTCAATCCAAGTTACAATTTATAAAAGTAAACCATTATAGGTCAAGGTGCGGCCTTCAACACGGAGCATTGGCTCACACCGAACAGCAAGCTATAAAGGGCCCCAAAACATTACTAGTGTAAAACCATTCACACGGAAAAACCAACGGTCTAATCTATATAAAAACGAGAAACGAGAAACACGTATGAACTACATAATCAGACGACAACTACTGTAATCAGATTCCTGACATAGGACAGGTGCAAACATTTGCAGCGGGATTAAACGTTTTAATGGTACGGGTAAATACAAAAACTGGATGAACGAGTTTAAATGTGGCTTCTTCAAATCACTCATGCTAGGTCCGGCATTGATGGTTAGTCGTTTTGCTTTTTGATACAGCTATTTATATATTTACACCATTGGTAATTCCAATTTAACCTTTTGAAATCTATGTTGGAATGCATATATATGTAGAGGAGTTAAGTGACTTATATATTCAGTGACAGCGCTGAAAAACTATTGTCTGTTGTCAACTTCCTTCAAGCACATATATTCATTCCTTTTTAATTTCAGTTTTGATGACAAAGAAGAGAACTGTATTAAAAGTAAGGCTATCTATAATAATTATTATCTTATTATGTCTCTTTTCTTTTTGACCATTTATGTTAAACAGGCCATGTGAGAAGGTGATTTTTTATGATTTAAAAAGGTTTTACTCTTTTGGTTGCGTAGGAGGCCGATTGGTCTTCTTAGTTAATCTAAAATGACAACTAGCCTGTCAACCCTGCGGTTCTGAGTTCCAACTCCGTAGCAAGGAGGATTGTAAGTTTTCCTGCCGAAGGTCGGTGATTCTCGTGGTTCTTCGGTTTCATTCACAAACAAAAACTTGCCACCATGTATATATGATCATATATAAGCATTGACACTTTGCGTTTATAATATTTGAGCATTTTTCAGTCTGTCCATACTTGCTGTTATTTGATACTTTGAATTACGAGAAAGGGTATGCTTAGCAACGGGTGTATTCTTGTGATGCTACTGCTGTTTATGAAATGAAATATTATACCAAAAGCGTTTTTAAACCGCTAAACTATTTTGGATTTTTTATTTGAACTAAATCCAATGATTGTGTTCATATTTTTAATATACATTATGTATCTTGGTATACGGCTTCTTGCTTTTTTTCTGTGATGTTCAGTGTCCAAATTTAATATGCCATTTTTTAGACAAAAAAATCAAATAAAAGTTAACGAAGTCAAATGCAAGTTTTTGCATATATGTGTGTTCATGGGAGTCTTTAGATCACTTTTTTAAATAGTGAAATAATTCCTGCTCACGACTTATTGATTTATCGCCAGTACATGCATTCTGTTATATTGTAGATAATAATGACAGGATTCCTTACTTGTATGCAACCAGTCCGATAAAGGTAAGAAATATTAATAGCTACTAGATATGAATACATGAAACAAAAACAAGAAAGATTTATGGTGCATTCGAATGCACCTTTCCAGTATTATGTCAAATATGAATAATAATGTGAAATATAATGAAACACCAGTATACCAGTAACCGATGGTGAAACTCGTCGCATATACTTTGTTTTGGTTTGGGCATTAACGCTACGTATAACTGTTTTTTTTTTCATATCAAATTTTTGTTGTTGTTGTTGTATAGATATTTCATCGAACTTGAAAAATGGAAACAACAGATACAGTAAAGTCTGCCTCATATTTTGACTTACATCTACAAATTGACAATGAGATGATTCCAATTGTTAACTTTCCAATTTTTATGTAGCTACATCACAGCAGCGCATGCATATGGATTGTATATCTCCCACTTTGATACGATATTCCAGGGCTGTGTTTCCTGTAATAATTTCCTTGATAAAGGGTTGCTGCTCACAAAGAAGCTATTTAACCAAGAGTTTCAAGTGGTGAAGTTGAAATCAAATTTTACGGACGCCATCAAGATTTGGTTGACCGTTACGGAATATGTGTTTCTGATATGTTCCAATCGTCATAACCACAGTGCCTCCTACCTTTTCTACGATTGTGACCTACCGAATTAGACTAAATGTATCACCAGGTTTTTACTTACATGAGCAACACGACGGTAGCCATGCGCATGTGGAGCAGTCTGCTTACCATTCCCGAGCACCTGAGATCACCCCAACTTTTGGTGGGGTTCGTGTTGCTCATTCTTTAGTTTTCTTTGTTGTTTTTTGTATACTGTTGTTAGTCTTTAAAAATTTGGTATTTTTCTTTTTTTACCATGGCGTTCTTAGATTATTTTCGACCTGTTAGTTTGAATGTCCCTTTTGTATCCTTCGCCTCTCTTTTTATCGTTGTGTCCATTTGTTCATTCGTCTCCCCGAACCTCGTATACTGAACTCCTATTTACTGGGCAGTTACTTTATTTGAATAGAAATCTGCCTTTCCTAATGGACTTAGTCAGGAACCTGATGTTCAGTGGTTGTTGTTTGTTGATGTGGTTCATAAGTGTTTCTCGTTTCTCGTTTTTTATATAGATTAGACCGTTGGTTTTCCTGTTTGAATGGTTTTACACTAGTTATTTTTTGGGCCCTTTATAGCCTGCTGTTCGGTGTGAGCCAAGGCTCCGTGTTGAAGGTCGTACTTTGACCTATAATGGTTTACGTTTACAAATTGTGACTTGGATGGAGAGTTGTCTCATTGGCACTCTCTTCTTATATCTATTATGTGATGTCACATTTTTTAAAATTAATGTTTATTCGATTTCTTTCTTTCTTTTTATTTTTATTTGTGAAGGAGGAGGGGCTCCAGCAGAACCACCACGTAAAGGCAAATTTTTGTATAAAAGTTCTTCGTTTACTGTTGATTTTTTTGCCAATAACAATCTTATTCCAAGGTTAAGCTTTTATCACTATTCGGTTCATTCCTATAACATTGGGAATATATATCTTCCACGCCATTTCAGATGGAACTACCACCAGAACCTGTCCTTCCAAGATCAAGCACACCTGTGTTTAAAGGATTATCACAGTCACAAAGTGAGTAAATTATCGCAATGCTGTTTGGTCAGCAACAATTTCATTGTCACCTATAATGAGGGTCTAGATGGGGTCTACAGAAAAAAAATAATAGCCAAAACAAAGAAGAGAGGAAAATTGCACAAAATGTATGAATATAACATGTATAAGAATAACGGGTTAACAAAATATCAATAATAGAGAAAATGGACAAAACATAGTACAGAATAGTGATAAATGATAAATGATGTAAAAATTAAAGGATAAAAAAATCATTGACGACCTTCCATCAAAACCCTCAATAATAGCTAATACAGTAAGCTATCGTTTATGTGTATGAATAGTTTTAATATGTTTACACTGTGGGAATACTTTACATTAATGTTTTTTCATTATAAGAAACCCGATCTTATGACATTGACAGACAAAAAAAAGACATTCTTTTACGGATCCCCACAAATAAATCTTCAATTCCCGATAGGTTTAAATCCCAAATTATCGCTAAAACAAAGTCCCAATCCCGAATTCCCGCTAAAACAAAGGTCCAATCCCGACGTCCCGAAAAAGGTCAATCCACCCCTCTAGACATTTAAACTTATTTATCAAGTTTTCAATAAGGAATATAGTAAAATAGTAAAAAGCTATCAAAAATACCAAAATGACTACCCAAACCGAACCATTTTCTATCTTTACGGACATTTGAAGAAACATAAAAGATTCATTTTTAATTTCCTATTTTCAACATACTACCAGTAACCATGAACACAAAAACAAAAGAAGTAATTCACTAAAACATACGCAGTTAAGCCTAAATTACGACACTTTGTCCAATAAGTATAACTGTTAACAACCAAAACTATTAAAAACGGAAAATCATAGAATTTATCATTTTCCGTTGCCAAAGCTCGCTTCAGCAAAATAATTATTAATGTTTACAAAACTGAAAACACTGATAGTGCATGATACAGAATTTAACATGAAGAATGCTTCCTTTCGCAAACAAACAACATATGAAAACACCAAAACGTTGTACCAAACACAAGGTCATTGGTAAAATAAGTTGAAATTATGGTAGATACTATTTTCTTTTGGCATGCCTATTTAACACAGCCGTCTAAGTTACAATGTACAGTTTCTATATTTGTATACAAATAATGATTTCTCAGTAATGACATGTCATAAAAATAATTCATAATACATGTAACCATAAGAAACTGTACACATTTATAAGTTTAACATTACAATTTTCATCAAAATCGGACCTCAAATAAGTTTTTGACAATGTTCAATAAATGTGTTTTTATATGAATTAATAAGGGATTTTCGAATTGGAGAGACACTTTTGACCTAAGACTGTAATAAGAGCTTCTCATATGCTTCAAAACAAAAAATATTGTCTTGTATGATCAAATTATATCATTATTGAGACATTTTATTGGTTATTTTTGTCGATGGGTTGCTGTCTCATTCACGTTTACCCGACATTTCCTTTATTTATTCATCAATATAATTTTGTTAGAATCAATGAAAATTTATTTATAAAAATGTTGTAGATATTTTAAGACCTTTTTTTTTTTAAGATAATGTGAGCAATAGAGGAACAAAACCAAAGAAGGATAAACACAGTATGAAGGTATCAATGATGAATTTTGCCTCCACTAGAGATGATGGTAAGATAAAATTTGTATACTAACCATGAGCAACACGACGGGTGGCACATGTGGAGAAGGATATACTTATCCTTTCATAGCACCTAATATCACCCTCCGTTTTTGTGGTGTTCGTGTTGCACAGTCTTTAGCTTTTTGTAGTGTTTTGTTTATTTTTTGTCTATTCGTCAATCGTTTTCCGCTTTTTTGTCATGAATTTGTCGGTCTCTCCGACTTATGAGTTAGTTTTGATTCTTTCTTTCGTATCGTTTGCCTCTTTTTCTACTGGTCGGACGAACAAACACGGTACCCGGAACACCTAAACGCATTGCGTAGATAGAACGAGGAGTGTGATCTGTACTGTTTACTAAATTTACATAAAATATGTAAGCAATTGATTAATTCTTTAAATACTAAATGTCTCGTGTTGTTTGGAAAGGAAAATCGGTTTCTTGTGATACATAAAAGAGGATCTAGATGGGGTTTACAGAATAGAGAATAACATGCAAAAAGTGCAGAATAAAGAGCCCAAAAAGTCAAGAATAGAGAAAAATTGACAAAAACAATAGAGAATAATGGGGTACTAAATATAAAGAAAAGAGAATACTTGGCTAAAATATAAAGAACAAAAAAATGAGTTAAAAAATTAAAGAATACAGAAATGACTGGAATCACCAAACAATACTGGAAAACACAACATACCACATCAACCACAAATAAGCGACTCCTCCGCGAAAAAAAAATAGACTTACAAACAATTTAAGGTTTACAACAACTAACAACACATGCTCCAGATTGCCTGACTTAGTACCCGTAACAAGCACAAAAAAAAACTCCCGCTTTGCCGATCTATCCGTATGTCATTAAACTGAAAAAAACAATTAAAAACATGCAGAGCCCAGATTCAAATTGGTATAATAAATGTTATTATTCAAACATTACTTAGTACTTGAATAAGAAAAGAAAAAAAAGGCACATAATTTGGAAAGTAGGATAAACATGTACTCGTTACTGCAAGATGTTAGCTGCAGTGACTACAGCTGTTGGTATGATACTGTGGCTAAAAAATAGAAAACACTAATTTTTCCTGACTAAAACAATTAATCCATATCAAAAAGTTCCTCCTGATTTACAATCATACTTAATTTTCGACATTGTTTTAACAAGGATTTATATAGTAAACTATACTATACAAATCCTTGGTTTTAAATAGTACGAAATAATTTTTTTCGATTACGTTTTCTTCGGCCAAAGTTTTGTTAACTTCTACTAGCTATAGTACTGTAGGTTTTTGTTGGTCTGAAGTAAACACAAAATATGTGTAATATAATTTGTCGAATATACATGAATGAGGATTTACATAGTGACATGTGAAATTTTGTCAAATTAATGTCTCTAATTTAATCGTTCACAATAGTGACATTATACATTATGTGTGCTTTTTTAGTCAAATAGTATATTAAAAGAGTATGTTTGATATTTAAAATGTTGTCAAACTGAATGGTAAGTCATTCAGATATCATGTTATATGTGTGTGGTTTTTTTTATGCCTGGATGGTTGGTTGGTTTAAAAACTTGAATTTAAAAACCAGACAAAGCCATATCTGTATAAATCATGGTAGCTCTGACAAGAATGTGTGTACATGTGACACCATGCTTCGCTCACACTTTAAATTTCTATGTTTATTGAACTGTGAAATCTGAGGTCAAAAACAAAGTTCGTGTGACTACAATTTCATGCTCTAAAAAGAATCTGTGTCTTTAGGACACTATTCAATACTGTGTCTATAAGACACTATTCAATACCGTGTCTATAGGACACTATTCAATACTCGTACATACTATATTTTTATTTTCAATGAACTATGAAATCAGTGTCAAAAACAGAATTTGGCATATAGTTTAAATTGAAGTGTCCACAGTTTCCTGGTTAGCTACATTAACCGAATACTTTAACTTTAAACTGGACTGACGACCGGACGGACACTGACCAGAAAACATAATCCCCCTTTTTTATTTCGTAGGCGGGGCATACAACGATCTCGCCAACATTCCATTCCAAAATAGTATAAATTAACATGATTTTTACCGTTTGTTCTTGCGTTGTGTTGTTATACCAATCCAAAGTTATGGTGACAAACATATTTAAGCCGGGTCTTTTCAAGTCAGAAAACTGTAATTCAGTGGTTTTCGTTGGTTGCTGTTTGTTAAATTTGTCTGTCGTTTTTTGTTTTGTAATAAATCAGGCCATTGGATTTTTTTTGTTTGAATTGTTTCAAATTTTGTCATGTTTTATAGCTGACTATATGGTATGAGTTTCGCTTATATAGTTGTTGAAGACCGTACGGTGACCTATAAATTGCATACATCTGCTTCATTTGGGCTCTGTTAGATAGTTGTCTATTCATCTGAGCATACCACATCTCTTTATGTACATAAGAAAAAAAATGATATAAATTCATCATAGATACCAGGATTAAAATTGTGTACGCCAAACGCGCGTTTAGTCTACAAGACTGATTAGTGACGCTCGAACCAAAAAAGTTCAAACGGACAAATAAAGTAAGAAGTTGAAGACCATTGAGGACCCAAAATTCAGAAAGGTTTTGCCAAATACAGTTAAGGTAATCTATTGCTGGAATAGCAAATCTTTAGTATTTTGAAAAATTCTAAGTTTTGTAGCACTTAATTTATAATGATGACCATATCAATGATAATTCATGTCAACACATAAGTGCTGACTAATGGGCTGGTGATGAAATATATATCAATAAGATGAATTTGACTTATGTTACATTTATACTTCAGTTCCACCTGCTTTATTTCACGATGGAAAATACATGAAGGAGAACCCCAATGCAGATGTTGGACGAGAAGGCACTATAACACCAAGACAAATCCTGATCGAGTCAAAAAGATCATTCACAGGAAATTATTCTTATTGAAAACGCTTTCCAAGTCCGTTATATATATATGAAATTTATAAACATATCAAAATAATTCTGCAAATGATTTTATAAACTTAGAAATGTGTCATAAGTATAAGCTTTACTCTATGAGTTATGCTGTGAATATTTTCTATGATAAACCGATTATCATTTAACCAAAACTCTTACATTTGACTGACAAGAAAACTGTTCCAATTTATCTTCCTGTCTATCTGTTATTTACTGATAAATAAAATACTTAGTTATGGTTACTTTTTTCATTGTTGAAGGCTGTATGGGGAATTTTACCAAATTATATACTTTAATAAAACGGAAATTCGTGACCGGGTGACATTTCTCAAATATACGAGTTAAGTACCTTGTGTTATATTAAAGTATATAGGTAAAAAAATTTCAGAGACAAGTGCCTGTGCGCTGGGAACACAATCTAATTAAAATATAGAACTCGGATTTCGTTATACTACGTACGAGTAGTATAACGAAATCCGAGTTCTATATTTTAATTAGATTGGCTGGGAACTGTTACAGTATATCTAATATATATGTTCCTGCTGTGCGTAAATGCATGAATTATTGCGAAAATCACAACGGGATATGTTTTGCAAAGTAGAAACTTGCATTTTGAATTTTGGTGAATTATTAGTATGCAACTTTTCTTAAAATGGTAATAACTGGTAAAATGTATTACTTTTTTGTCCCTTGTTCAACCAGAACAATAAATGCTTGCAGAACAGTAATGTGCTATATATGGCAATTCTGCAAATTTTTTCTATCTACTATGGTTTTCAAGATACAAGACAATTAATACATTTTATGAATTTATGTTCTATTTGAAGCCTGGCAACCCTGTTTGATTTCTGACTGAAAAAAAAAAACACAAACTTTTTGCTAGATACCTTGAGGATCATTCGCCTCGAAAGGCTAGGACAGACACGAAAATTTAGTCAATAATTGCTATTTCAGGTCAAAAACTCTCTAAGGAGTCATCATATGGTTTTTGTTGTATTGGCATCTTTGTAGATCTTGTATTGTTGGTTTTTTTAAGCCCCCGCGACAAAATGTCGGGGCATACTAATTTACCCCAACCCGTCCGTCCGTTCGTTAAATATTCTCAAAATGCCAGGTATTTGGAATTAGCCATTTTTTGGTACTAGCTGCATAAAGAGAACTTGGTTTGTCCGGCTGTCTACGCCTATAGGGTTTTGAGCTACATGTTTATTATTTTGTAGGATGTTTCTACACACGATAGAGGTGTGCATGGCCACAGAATTTTGATTTTTTTCAAATATTCTCAAAATGCCAGGTATTTGGACTTTTATCATTTTTTTTGTAATAAAAGTCAAAAAGCGGGATGTTAGATATTCGCAAAAACTGGTAGTTGGACTTCATTTCCTTCACTTGCTATATAATTGAAAACATGGGTTGTTCTACTACAGTTTAATGTCCCTAATGCAATAAATAAGATGTTTTAGTATTGTCAAATATTTAATCACTACCGGAAAGTTGGACTTGGTGACCACTAAAACTGGTCAGGAGGGGGCACCATTTGTGTCTTACAGACAGTGCAACAATTTTTAGTTGTACTTCAACATCACTGTTTGTCAAATCTAAAGTATGTGGAACTACATGTATACTCATGCATATGGCAGAGCTGAGGGGGCATCATCCATATCTAGTTTTTATCTTGTATTGTTTAAGGGCAATAACTCGATTAAGAGACATCCAATGGTTTTGATCATATCAACCATTTAATTTTGTGGATATTGTATTGCTGATTATTTTTGTTGTTTACAGTTTTTATCAGTTACCTATCTATTAACATTTTTCAGATAATAGACAAAAACACCAAAATTAACCAATAACCATCATTTAAAGGTAACAAATATTGAAGGAGTCATCTAATGGTAGAATTTATCATTCTGAGCATGTTGTCCCCATCAGGTTACCTAGTATGGTTTTCAAGATAAAAGACAATTAATGCATAATGGTAGTAATGTATGTTTGTTGGCTGACCAGAATAGAAAAGACAAACTTTATACTAAATATCCAAATTAATGGTCATTCACCCTGATTCTTTTCTTGCTAATCATTTTTGCTATTCAAGTCATTCACCTTGATTTTTGTCTTGCTAATCATTTTTGCTATTCAATATTTCTCTAAATTCATCAAAGTTTTCAAAGTAAAAGCCAAAAACTGAAATTTGCTTGAAATTGACATTTCAGGGACAATTACTCCAAAATTGATTATCAGATGTTTTTGAAAAATAATGTAGATAGATCTTATCATGCTAACCATTTTTACCAAGTTAGTTTTACTCTAACTGCATAACTTTTTGATTGTCCACAACTGACTTACTTCCAATCATGTTATCTGAGGATAATATGATCGAGGGTCTGGACAGGGGGTCCTTCATTTCTGTATTTTTTATTTTTTTAAGGCCATTTTTCTCTATCATTTATATTTTTTACCCATTATTCTCTATTCTTTATATTTCAGTACCCCATTATTCTCTATTCTTTATTTTGTTTGCCCATTATGCTCTATTCTGTAAACCCACATCTAGACACTCATGATCCCACATGCCTGTTTTCTCTCATGCAGGCCAGCAACAAGGCATCTTTTTCCATGGGTAGCAGGCACCTTTGTATGGGTTTCCTAGTTGTTTCTATGATGAGCCAAAAATTGCAATTTTAACTCTGTTTTATTTTTGTGCTTGTTACATAATTTTTACCAGTATATGAAATATCCAAAGGAACATTTACACAAAGTTTGGTTAAAATCTGTTACATGGTTTCAGTGAGGAAATTTTTTTTATAAAGTTAGTTTATACCTTCAATGAAGGACCCGTAACTGAAGGCAATAACTCCCCCATTCAAAAACATTAAAATCTCTACAAATTCTTTGTAAGGTGAATAATAAAATAAAACAAAATAATAGAAAGCACTGTTTTATTAGCACTAGACCTCACTCAGCACTAGATGTTTATATAAACTTTGCAAATTTTATCAACATAACCATTACATGTATAATAAATAATCTTAACAAAACTTTACTTTAAATATGACAAACATGTAAATATATATATATATATGCATGTGCATATGCAATTAAACTTAACAATCAAATACTCATGTCAAAATCTCCACTTTATAATAGGATTTAAAAATGTATTTTTGCAATTTGTATATTTGAAAATCATAAAAACATGATATAAACTTAAATGCTTTGTTAAATATACATGTTCAATTGCTGAATTACATCATGTACATGTAAGTATATCAAATTTAGAAAACATTACAAATTTTATCATTCAATAATTACATTACATGTATGTTTCATTAAAATACATTATTTTGATTGGCTATCAGCAATCTCGCGTCATTCTGAAATTAACATTCATTTCAAAATGAAATGTAACAATCATGATGACATGAGCTTTCACAATAAAGTGCACAGGTAAATAAAAGAAAAAAGCTTCCGTGCTTCATACAAAATGTACTTTGGTCAACACTTTTACACCTCAATAAATTTACAAAAAGAAGCATTCAATTCTTAATTGAATTGTATTTCCACACCTAATTTCACATACCATGATTTTTAAATACATTGCCTCAGCTGGATTTATATGTATATGAAATGCATTGCAACTAATTGTGTCTCCCACTAAATTTCTGGTTGAACATTAATATTGTAGCACCAAAAGGTTAAGATATTTACTTTTTTTCAAAAATTTAGATTTTTGACTTTACTTGAGGATGTGTATATAGGAATAAATACACATGTATTATACTTTTAGGAGTGCGAGCTTACTCAAAAACACATACAAAGATATAAGGAAACAACGTACAGTTATTACACATAATGAACAAAAATTGAAAAGTTTTGAATCAATAATACAGGGTCTGTATGGGGTTTACAGAATAGAGGATAGAAGTTGAACATGCAATAATCAGTAAAATACTGTTAAATGAGGAAAAAAATCCTGATTTGCTCTGGATACCAAGTTTTGTCAAATTCCATAAAGGTTTGACAACACATACATTGTAACTGTACAAAGTCCAAATATAAGTACCAGTAATATAACAAACAAGAGTGCACACGCTGAAATGTCTCGCCTTCTTTACTAACTATTGATATTATGTTGATAGTCCTAAATATAAAGCTTTACTACAACTATCACATAAACTTAACATGATCCAAGAAATGAAGTCAAGGTCATATATACCAAACAAGAAATACATGTACACCTTACAATCATTCAGTACACTAAATATAGATGACCTATTGCTTATAGTTTCTAAGAAAAAGACTTAACCAAGAAAACTAAACATTGACTAATGAACCATGAAAATGAGGTCAAGGTCAGATGAACCATGCCAGGCAGACATGTACAGCTTACAATCCTTCCATACAACAAATATAGTTGACCTATTGCTTATACATGTTATAGTTTAAGAAAAACAGACCAAAACATGAAAACTTAACACTGGGCAATGAACCGTGAAAATGAGGTCAAGGTCAAATAAAACCTGAGAGACTGACATGTACATCATAAAATATTTCCATACACCAAATATAGTTGACTTATTGTATATAGTATCTGAGATATGGACTTGACCACCAAAACTTAACCTTGTTCACTGATCCATGAAATGAGGTCAATGTCAAGTGAAAACTGTCTGACGAGCATGAGGACCTTCCAAGGTACGCACATACCAAATATAGTTATCCTATTACTCATAATAAGAGAGAAATTAACATTACAAAAAATCTAAACTTTTTATTACTTAGTAACATAAGGCATCAATATGCAAAGTATGAAGCATCCAGGTCTTCCACCTTCTAAAATATAAAGCTTTTGAGAAGTTAGTTAACGCCTCCGGCACCGGATTTTTATCCCTATGTTGAGCTTTCTGCGACAAAAGTCGCAGGCTCGACAAAAATGAAAAAAAAATCTTTTCAAATTTTGATCTGGATTTAGTTTTTTGATGATAAAAAAAGCTTCTTTTCAAGTATTGTAAAATTCCATGCAGGTTTGACAAAGTGATTGATGTCTTAAACGACTTCAACTATAGGCTGAACCTAAATGTTGGTATGGCCAACAATGCCAGAATGTAGGATCGCTGTCTTGCTCCAGTGTCAAAATGTTGCAGCCTCAACAAAAAAAATACAACATGAACAAAATTAAACAAAATTAAAATTCTGTCAGCAGCTCTAGCAAAGCCAATTTGGTGGATAGATGTCTCATTGCCATTTGTCCCAATGTTAGAATGTTTACGATGCAAAATTTTACAGAAAAAAAAACATGTAAAATTTGCAATAATATACATGATATATCAAACTCATCTTCACAGTAATGGATAAGCATGTACATGATGTATAGCGCTGAGTAACATTTTTTTTAATGATATATATGTTGTGTAAAAGTTATAACTTTGTACAAATTATAATTTGTATAAAAAAAATGTACAAATTATAATTTGTATGTTAACTTTGTACAAATTATAATTTGTCCAAAAAATGTTTGTACAAATTACAATATGTTCAAAATTTGACTAAATTTCACTTATAATTTGTACAAAGGATATTTGATATATAATTTAACATGATAGAAATAATGCCCTTTTATATATTTTTAACAGTAATAAATTTTAATTACCTTGAGGAAAACATTTTTGTATTAAATTCTTCTTGTATACTTTTAAACTGTTCAGCAGAACATCAAAGCACAATCATATGTACATCAAGGACAAGCTTATCATAAGTGCCAGGATGTGTGTGATGTCATGCCAACAGATCCAAGACGAATATCTTACCAGGAATTTGAACCAAAATTATCACAACTTGCTGTGGAGGGATAATGGATTTGTAATAACATAAGCAACACGACGGGTACCACATGTGGAGCAGGATCTGCTTACCCTTCCGGAGCACCTGAGATCCCCCCCAGTTTTTGGTGGGGTTCGTGTTGCTTAGTCTTTAGTTTTCTATGTTGTGTCATCTGTACTATTATTTGTCTGTTTGTCTTTTTATTTTTGGCCATGGCGTTGTCAGTTTGTTTTCGGTCTATGAGTTTGACTGTCCCTCTTTTACTTATTCCGTAGTTTGATCTTGCGCCAACTGATCCTCGAAATCTCTTATGCGTAATTGTTGAATCTCGAGATTTTGGGTAACAGCTGTTGGAATTTTAAAAGGATATTTGTCTAGAAATCAAGTTGAAGCTGTTAAATGTTAAAGTCACATGTATATTCAAAACAAGGGTTCCTGAGAATGTTAAAAGCAAAAAAATGTGCAATTCCCCATGCCATAATTCACTCACATTCTCAAACAAATGTTAAGAACTACATGTACTTTTGTATTTTTTTAATAAAGTTTATTGTGTGGTCATTATTTTAATTAAATAAAAATTCTATATTGTGTATCTGCTTTTTTACCCAAATCCATGCGATAAATTATTGTACATGTACAAGTTATTTGTGAATTAAAGTTAAATTTTGTACAAATTGTAATTTGTACAAGCACTTTTTGTACAAATTACAATTTGCACAGGCGAGTTAAGTACCTTGTGTTATATTAAAGTATATAGGATTTTTTTTTCTGAGACAGGTGCCTGTGGTACAAAATGATAAGTTGTACACAACATATATATACATGTATATGTAAAATTGTTCTACAACCAATAAAAATCCTGTAAGTATATTATTAAGAATCTTTTATACTGAGAGACCAGTAAGTTTTTACAAATTCTGATTTTGAACCCTGTTGATAAACAAATACAATTGGCAATACTTTTTTGATCAAATATAATAAAACATTATTGTAGTACATATGTACATAAACCATTTATAAGAGGTTTTGGCCTACTTAAATTTCTCAACCTACAAACAAATAGTAGGTCATTTTTAACAATGAACTTAGGTGTAATACATTTAGATTATTGGCAATGTTATGACAACATAATAATTTGCATCACAATAGCATGGACATTATAATAATAGTATGTTACCTTTTGGAATTTCTACACAACAAATAAATAACAGTATATATATCAAAATCCAAAGGAAAAATTTAAAATTGTAACAAAACAAAAATATAAACCCATAGTTAACATGGTTAAAACCAATTAAATTTTAAGGTTTCATGAACCTTTCCACTGCAACATGTTTGCAAAGGTCATACATGTCATATAGATTTATCTTGACACAGACTTTAAAACATTTAATCTTTAAACAACATATGTTATAATTGTAATTATTGTAAGTAAAAACTACTTTACATGCTTTACAATAAACATGATAAACTTCTCTGAGAATGAAGAAAATTATAGGTTCTGAAATCAGTGTACACATGGTGTATATGTTGTGTACAAGTTATCATTTTGTACAAATTATAATTTGTACAAAAAGATTGCACAAATTATAATTTGTATTTTGACTTTGTACAAATTGTAATTTGTACAAAAAGGGCTTGTACAAATTACAATTTGTACAAAATTTGACTAAAATCCACTTATAACTTGTACAATAATTTATTGTATGGATTTTTATATAAAAAAGCATTGACACACACTATAGAATTTTTATTCAATGACCACACAATAAACCTTATTTACAAGATTCAAAAATACCCAGATGGAGACAGGAAATGTAATTGATACATGCATGCCAGTTAATCATGATAGTACAATAGAAGTTGGCCCCAGTGACAATTCTGATAGTATAATAGAAATTGGCCCAAGTGACAATTCTGATAGTATAATAGAAATTGGCGCCAGTGAAAATTCTGATAGTATAATGAGATTGGCCCAAGTGACAATTCTGATAGTATAATAGAAATTGGCCCCAGTGACAGTTCTGATAGTATAATAGAAATTGGCCCCAGTGACGATTCTGATAGTATAATAGAAATTGACCCCAGTGACAATTCTGATAGTATAATAGAAATTGGCCCAAGTGACGATTCTGATAGTATAATAGAAATTGGCCCAAGGGAAAATGCTGATAGTATAATGAAATTGGCCCCAGTGACAATTCTGATAGTATAATAGAAATTGGCCCCAGTGACAGTTCTGATAGTATAATAGAAATTGGCCCCAGTGAAAAAAAAAGCTTCCAAAAACTGGTGGTCAGGGGTTCCTTAAATGTAAATGCAAAGGGATGTGCAAAACTTCTAAATGTAAATGTAAAAAGCAAAAGATGTTGTGCAATTCGCGATGCCATAATTCACTCACATGCTCAAACAAATGATACAGAACTATTTTTTGTATTTTGTAAGTAAGGTTTATGGTGTGGTCATTGAATAAAAATTCTATAGTGTGTATCAATGTTTTTTTTATAACAAAATCCATATTATAAATTATTGTACAAGTTATAAGTGAATTTAAGTCAAATTTTGTACAAATTGTAATTTGTACAAATTACAATTGTACAAAGTCAAAATACAAATTATAATTTGTACAAAATGATAACTTGTACACAACATATATATAAAACATTACACTTTTGTATATGTCATGATTCAGCAATTTAAAGACATGTTTCCTGTCGAAGTCCAATTAAACATATTGTATACATAGAATAAAATATCCTGGGTGAAGAAATTTGAATTCCAAGGACAGTTTTCATAAATAAAAAAAAATATTTCAGATTGTAAATGAACAGTTGTCTGCTATCAAGACAAATTATTTTTCTAGCTAAATTAATATAAAACAAGCAATGTTGCTCGTGAATAAAGTTAATTTCTTGCACTCAATGATCATTTAATCTGGACAGAAACAGACATGACAGACAGAATAAAGTTGTAAAATTAATTACTCAGTGAAAAAAATCAGGTCCTCATTGTCTTGAAAAAAATGTTTTTTTTATTAACATTGGACAGTGAAAAAATCACTACATAATGTACATGTTAGTAATTTTAGTCAGAATGAGGCTTTTCATTCAAGAAAATGCGAACACAGCCATATGAATACATAGGTACTGGAATTGTTCCTACTTTTTCCCAAGCATTCTTTTTAGGGTCAAAGCACTCAATTATATCTGTGTACAGTCTGTCTTTAGCCCCACGTCTTCTTCCTCCAAATGTGTACAGTTTCTCATCAATAACAGCCACGCTAACAAAGTCTCTTGGACATATCAGTTCTGGTAGAATTTCCCAAATTTCTGTTTCAGGTGTATAACGGAATGCACCTTCAAGTCCTATTACATAAATCTGTTTGTTGAGAACAGTGCTACCAAGACACATATCACATGCCGGCAGTGGTTGAGACAGTATGGTACATGTTTCCGTAGTTGTATCGAAACACTGAACTGTATTGGTGACGATTTCGTCATTGTTCTTACCACCAAATAAATATATATGCTTATCATGGGCCACAAACCCCATGTTCTCAACAGCATGGCACAGACTACCAGCTTGCATCCAAGAACATCCATTTGTCCATTTCTCAACTGACTTTAAGACCATATCTTCATCAAATCCACCGAGGACATATAAACTATCCTGCTGGGCAGCCATAGCATGCCGTCTTCGGGCAGTTTGTAAACTTGGTCCTCTTAACCAAGTCTCAAAGCCAGAGTCATATTTCCAGAATTCGGCACTTCTCAAGCCCCCTGATACATATATGTCATTTCCAATCACACTGGCAGTGAATTCATTGCGCTTTTTAAATGGCAGTGGCTTCAATGAGGTAAATTCTCCAGTATCAGATCTAAAACTTTCTACATCAATGCTAAGACCATCTGCCAGCCTTCCACCAAGTAAAATTGCAGTTTCATGGTTAGAACTTGTCAACCTTGGAGTGATCTGAAAGCTATTTAGCATATGTCGTCTGCTTGGAACCATGTGATATGTAATAGCATCTTCATAAAGATTCAGTCCTTTTTCATCTTGCATAACATGAGGAGATTTTGAAACAATGTCGAGCAAGTATTCTTTCCTTATCATTGGAAACTTTACAGCCTCTAAAATTTTAAACCTAAAATTCTTCCTCCTTCCTTCATTCCCATCAGCATCTAACCATTTTATGGCCATTTCGAAAACTTGATGCTCTCCATCACATCTCAGCCTTCGGTCACAAAGAACATCCATGACACACTGTAGCGATAATCGACAGAAATCTTCATCGTTAACTATAGTTTTGAAATGAAAACATGCAAGTTCTTTCGAAATTTCATACAGCTGAGAATGTGCATGAGTATCAGCTAACATCAAGGCCGCAAGACAATTAGACTCATTCATATTCTCTTTGAAAAATTTAACACATAGATTCACCAATGGTTCGATCTGAAACATGTAAGCCTGCTGGAATAAATCCTGTAATATTGACGTAGTGATCTGTACACGTCCCGTGTAAATAAAATGAAGAACATACTCAAAAACGTTAGAATCAACCTGCTGGAGATCAATCTTGTTTTTCCTGCATTCTTCCATTCCAGAACTAAACATTGATTTGAAATATCTCGAGCCAGCTGCTAGAATGACTCTATGGCAAGGGAAGTGTTTTCCATCTACAACTAGAGTGACATCACTGTAACCTCCTTCAATACGGAAGGTTTCGAAATTTGTGATTAAACTTTCTGAATGTTCTGGACTGGAATAATCTGACAGTCGACTGTTGTCACTAAAATCATGGTGTCTGCTGAAAAGGCTTTGGGCTCCATCTTCAGCTTCTATGTCCATTTTTAACCTACAAAAATAATTAAAAAGATCATATAGTTAATTTTTGAACATCTGGCAGCCTATGGTGAATTTATTCACAATTTTTCTAGAGAAAAGATTATTAACTGCTTGACATAAGGTGTAGATACTTGTTAAATACTGTCATTGAGGAGTAATACTTACAAAAGTTTTTTTTTCTTAGTACTTTCAGATTGTTTTTTTTTTAAGCAAGGAAGTCATATTTTTCGTTCATGAATTTCCCTTGACTACATTGTGTATATTGCTTTCATTGACTGCTTTATTGTTTAATTCATAAAAGTAATTTTGAAAATACATGTAATCAACTCACAAAACTGCATGTGATGTTGTATTTATTCATTAGCAATAATTGATTTTCAATCTATACATGCAGAGCCACCCTTAAGAAATTCTTTGTTTGATGTTGCCTACCCATGCCTTTAAGGGTTTTTTTTTTTGGCCTACAGCATAAGTTACATGTTTTAAACAACAAAACAACGTTAGAGCAGGAAAAAATCTTTAAAAAAAAGTTTAAGACAATTTAATTTTGTGTCATAAAATTTTTTGGGTAGGCTGCTTTTTACTAATTAAGGTTGGTAGGAAGGCAACACCAAACAATTTAAATTTTATTTTTGGCCCAGTTTTGTGAGTTGATAACATGTATTTTCATCTACTTAGAAGATCATTTTTGCTTCAGGTAAATTAATCAATGAGCGATGGATTTCTCTTAGAAGAAATTTAAAGGTCCCAGTGAATAAACTACACAGAGAACAATAGCTATTGTATCTATTCAAATGGACAATTGAAATGACAAAAGTTTAAATACCTTGACCAAGAGGAGATGACTCTGTGGAAGAGTTTCATTTAGTTTGCAATAATGGTAGTATCAAAATCTTTAATTATTTTTACTGGTATCATATTTTTTTAGAAGGGTGGTCTTTTTTATAATTCTAAAATTAAGAAATAACCAGCATGACCAGCTGGTCTTGAAGACCAGTTTTCATGCAATGGTCAGTCATTTTTCTTTTACAGTTTTTGAGGATGTCACTTTTAACCATGAACTTGCATGGAAATTTACAAGGAACATGTAGTACATTTTTAGACCTGGAACATTATAAGGGGACTACCATTTGATATTCTAGGGGGCAGGGAGATTTTTCTGATGGAATATATTCTTTTTTGCCTTCTCGCTTATTCTTTCTAAATGGATTACAACTAAAAAATGTATTTTCCCCTTTGTACACATTTCCTATATTTTGTTAGGATTATTTTTCAGTTAATAAAGGCCAGAATATTAATTTCTAATAAGCTTGTCTTTATTTTATTTCTTATCATTCAATTGACCCTATATTCACTAATATACATGATAGAGGATAATATATTTTGCTTCCTCAACACTGTCATGACTGTTGAAGATAAAGCTCATTTTTTATTTACATGTTCTCTAAATATATAATAATACAGAACCTTATCTTAATACAATTACATAAAGATGATGTATTAACTTGGGTAATTTGAAACTTAAATCTGAATTCTTTATTTGAAATTAAATTAGAATGGCAAAAGATCTGAGAACCAATTTGAATATTCTATTTGACTAAAAAATAAGAAACAATAGAATATATAATGTGGACTTTTGAGTTATCCCCCTTTGCATATCTCTTTTGGACTGACTCTCCTCCCCTTTATTATTTAACAATTATTGTTTGTTATACATGGTATATGTATTTTAATAATCATAATCATGTGGTATTGTCTGTATCTGCGGTTGGACTTCTCACCAATTAACACCTTAAAATTACCACCAAACATATCTAAATATAATTTTGTCATCTTAATTTTTATACGTGACTATTCATTCTAGGGAGGATGAATAGAGTAATAAATATATCTATAAAGTAATAATTATAAGAAATACATGAAATAGAAAACAACTATCATCAGAGAAAAGTTAAGACATTAAGGTAATTTACAATGTGAATATTGGACAAAATATTTCTGTTTCTGGAAACCTTTTTGTTTATTTTGATTTATCATATGATAATTGCTTTATTAATGTCCAATTTTTCATTTTGATTATAGACTTTCACATCAATATGGAGCTCATGTAAAGATGTGAAGAAATGATAATGGGAATCAGGTAGTCCAATGCAAAATTATAATTATGACGTCTTGAAAGACTTTTTTGTTATTTTTTGCTATGAGGCGTCACAGTCAAAAGTATCCTTTCAAGATGTCATGACTGTGCTAGGAATCAGGATAAAATTTTATATAATTAAATTTATTTTGTGTATTAATATATACATGTACCATTTTCCTTATGGGTTGATATGATAGTAATCTTTTTGGGTTCTCAGTGGTTTGTGATAGTGTGCAGTGATGTGTGTGATAGTGTGTGATGGAAAAGGTTGTTAATAGCTAACAAAACATTACATGTAAAAAATTAAGATGTCAGAGTCTGAGACTGTGAGTCAGAGAGAAGTGTTTTGACAGTTGACTGACAGATTGACTAATCGACAGATTCATCTATTCTGTGCACGAGAAAAAATAATTAAAACCCAGTGCAAAAGTGTAATATAGCATTCCTTTTAATACCTTTTGGGATTAAGAAATTAAGAAAATCAAGGTGGAAAACTGCCTTTTTCCATTTTCCGGATATTTTGTAAAGGGAGGCTATAAAATGGGTGATCCAACAAATTTAACAAAAATAAAATAAGAACGAAACGTACCTTTTTGGCATCTAAATATGTAGCTGCGGAACCGTAGCTAATAGGTCCTTATGTTATTTTTTGACTATTTGCGGACATGAATAGTAAAAAAAATAACATAAGGACGTAAGAGCAACAGTTCCGCAGCTAAATATTAACATAAGGACATAATCTCAGTTTATGACCAAACTCAGTAAAGACACGTCATTGTTACATTTGGTTGATACATTCAACAATACCTTCCGTTATCTAGATGATATTTTTTCGTTAAATAATCCAGAGTTCTCTAAATATACTACCGAAATTTACCCAATATAACTTACTTTAACTAAATCTAACATAAACAGCAGTAGTTGTCCTTTTCTGGATTTGGACATTTCAATCTCTAAAGGAAAACTCCATACGAAAATTTACGACAAAAGAGACGATTTTTCATTCCCTATTGTTAATTTTCCTTTTTTAGACGGCGATGTTCCTTTGGCTCCATCATACGGTGTATATATATCCCAACTCGTTCGTTATGCCCGTGTGTGTAGTGATGTCATAGATTTTAACGAACGTAATCAATGCATCACTGGTAAATTATTAAATCAAGGATTTCGTTACCATAAATTACGTAAAACTTTTGCTAAGTTCTTTCATAGATACAAAGATTTGATTAGTAAATTTGGCTGTACTTGTAGAAAACTGATTAAAAACGGTATTTCACATCCTAAATTTTACGGTAATATTGTACTTAAAGCGCGGAAATCACAATGTGATCCGTGTAAACTCATCGAACCTTTAAACAGGCTTATATTAGTAAAGTTTATCTTACCAATGTTGTAATTAGATCTTTGAATATAGTTTACATTGGCACTAATATCGATTTTGTCATCAGCAAATTAAAACATAACTAAATTTGTATTTTTTTTTCAAGTGGGATGTATAAAGACACACCCACGTTCGTTAGGATCTATAAAGAGGTTAAACTCCTAACTATCCTACTGTCTGTCGATACATTTATTTTAAGCATTGCACTAGTCATGTCTTCTTTGACTGTCCATGACGTTAAAATACTAAATCCCTGGGATGTGTTTTAGTTGATTTTAGTCTCTGATGCATGATTTTTTATTATTAATTGTTTTGGCTTTTAACTAGCTGTCAGTAACTGCGAGTACTCTCAAATCGTACTTTCTTGTTTATTTGACCTGTTGATACTAATTGTATTGCTTTTTTGTTATTTAATGTTATTCAAGGTTATATCTGGTCTATATACCAGCTTTGATAAGTGTTTGGTATAACTATATATTTTCACTTCGTACTATGAACATCAAAATTATTTATTTTGTAATAATATTTCCTTTCTCTATTGGTACTGTACACGTATACCTAACAACAAAATTATTTTCATTTACCTGTGTTAAAAGTTATTGCAAATGGATGGTATTTTTGTTCGAGCATATTGTTTTTCTTTAATTGTTTAACATTTCTTACCGATATAACATGTTACTTTTATTATACTTCCCTTAATTTATTTATTTTATATTCAAAATTATTTATTTTGTAAAAATATTTCCTTTCTCTATTGGTACTGTACAGGTATACCTAACAACAAAATTATTTTCATTTACCTGTGTTTAAAGTTATTGCAAATGGATGGTATTTTTGTTCGAGCATATTGTTTTTCTTTAATTGTTTAACATTTCTTACCGATATAACATGTTACTTTTATTATTCTTCCCTTGATTTATTTATTTTGTATTCAAAATTATTTATTTTGTAAAAATATTTCCTTTCTCTATTGGTACTGTACAGGTATACCTAACAACAAAATTATTTTCATTTACCTGTGTTTAAAGTTATTGCAAATGGATGGTATTTTTGTTCGAGCATATTGTTTTTATTTAATTGTTTAACATTTCTTACCGATATAACATGTTACTTTTATTTTTCTTCCCTTAGTTTATTTATTTTGTATTTACATTGTGTCATAGGTCAAATTTATTTGTTCAGTGTATGTTCAATGGTGTTAATATGTCCTTTGATTGAGTTAAGCTATTTCAGTTGATATTTTATAGTGTGTCTTTCTATGTTGTGATGTTACACTATTGTTTCAGAAAAAGGGTGAAGGTTTGGTACCATTAAAACGTTTAAACCTGCTGCATTTGTTTGCACCTATCCTAAGTCAGGAATCTGATGTTCAGTAGTTGTCGTTTGTTGATGTGGTTCATAAGTGTTTCTCGTACGTTTCTCGTTTTTTATATAGATTAGACCGTTGGTTTTCCCGTTTGAATGGTTTTACACTAGTAATTTTTTGGGGCCCTTTATAGCTTACTGTTCGGTGTGAGCCAAGGCTCCGTGTTGAAGACCGTACTGTGACCTATAATGGTTTACTTTTATAAATTTTTACTTGGATGGAGAGTTGTCTCATTGGCACTCATACCACATCTTCTTATATCTATATAAGAGCTACGGTTCCGCAGCTAAATATTAACATAAGGACCTAAGAGCTACGGTTCCGCAGCTACTAAATATCATGATGCTTGCTTATTTTTAAATACATTTGTGTTATTATCTGTATTTGTCAGTTTTACTATATCATCATTATTCTATATCAAAATGTGTGTCATTATTAATTTTTGTTATACTTGAATTAAAAGACTATATTGTTTTTGTTTTGTTTTTTTTTGGGGGGGGGGGGGTGATATGATCATAATTGGCTTTTTCTGCTCTTTGGTCGGGTTTTTGTCTCTTTGACACACATTCCCCATTTCCATTCTTAATTTTATTTTATTCAAGGCCTTGTATATAGTTTTATCTGACTTTAATTGTCAAGTTCAGACGAAACCGACCAGACAGACATATACATGTATGGTAATAAAATATATCTTATCTTATCTTATCTTATACACGTTATAATCATTCCATAAAACAAATATATAGATGAACTGGCTTATGTTCGTATATTGTTAATGATTGTATCCAAGAAATGGGTAATAAAAACTTTTATTACGGTTGATCACCGATCCATGAAATTAGGTCAAGTTAGGTCATGTGAACCCTGTCTAACGAATTTGTTTATCTTGCAATGATTTCTTTGTCCTATTACTCCTAATAACTGTATCAATCATTTCGCAAACAACTATACAGTTTTAACTGAGCAGTCCGGGCGCATAGCCATGAAAATAATATCGTGGACATTGGACTAACTTCGTAACATCTGAGATACATATATATATATATATATATATATATATATATGTCTGCCTATGTGTAGTGACAACTGTAAATTATACCTTGTCCATCGGATTTCTTATGATTAAGAAATACCAGGCTTTAGAATATTTATAAAGTGCCTAGAAAATCAACCTAACAATGTTAGAGTAGATTTGATTCTTTACTTCCTCCCCAAGCGGGGCTGGAACCTGTACTTTTCACTTCATACTTCTACGGCAACACCGCCTAGCATTGCGCAGATCAGCTATAGTTAGAGGAGGGGATAAGGCGTCTGCGCAATGCTAGGCGGTGTTGCCGTAGAAGTATGAAGTGAAAAGTACAGGTTCCAGCCCCGCTTGGGGAGGAAGTAAAGAATCAAATCTACTCTAACATTGTTAGGTTGATTTTCTAGGCACTTTATATATATATATATATATATATATATATAAACGCCTAAAAAGTGTACACAACAACACCAATAACAAAAAAAGGAACTATAAATGTAATTATTTATAAATATTTCGGATAACAGATATCCTTCATCAGTAAATATGATTGTGATGTTGAATGAATCATATATCAGTCTATTTAAATTAAACTATAACAATCTTGAAATTTATACAATAAAAAAGTCAAACCGAACATCAGGTAAGACGCTTGCACAATTTTAAATATGTGTTAAACACGACATAGGTTATATGACTAATTACAGCAGAGAGTTCAAATATATGCTTTAAATAAAAATAATAATGTGCGATATGAACTAGCACAATTCTAAAGCTTTAACGGTGACGACAGTTATGATGTTACAAGAACGATTGCGTCAATAAGAATTCCAAATAAACAGCACTGAACGATCTAAATTTGTAAATATTTCAAATTTGACAACGGTAGAGTAGTTACAACAGAGTCTGCGTATTTAAACATCGCAAACAGACGGCCGTTAAAATATGATAATAAATTTTGACTAAGGTTAACTAGTTGAACGTGGCTTGGCACTTTTACATCCCTCAAAAAATTAAGCAATTTAAATTGGTATATTCAACAGATTTTAGAGATGAGTAAAGTAAAGAAATAGAAACAGAGACTGTAATAATAAGTAATATAACCCAAATGTGAAGCACTGCATGGAGTCGAACTACATCTTTTCATTTATCCCATTTGGTGCCAAAGTTGTTAATTTTCTTATCCAAAATCTTTCCCGAGTGAGTCTATCCTCCCTAGACCAAGCAGAGTTGTGGTCAATGATTGTAATGGTCAGTCGATTGAGATCTGCCTTAGTGTGGCCAGGGGATCTCAAATGTCGACTGAGAGGGAGGTCTGGCTTGCATTGGTAGTCGCTACGATGACCGTTCATTCGTTTGTGAAACGGCTGTTCTGTTAAAGCTTTAGAATTGTGCTAGTTCATATCGCACATTATTATTTTTATTTAAAGCATATATTTGAACTCTCTGCTGTAATTAGTCATATAACCTATGTCGTGTTTAACACATATTTAAAATTGTGCAAGCGTCTTACCTGATGTTCGGTTTGACTTTTTTATTGTATAAATTTCAAGATTGTTATAGTTTAATTTAAATAGACTGATATATGATTCATTCAACATCACAATCATATTTACTGATGAAGGATATCTGTTATCCGAAATATTTATAAATAATTACATTTATAGTTCCTTTTTTTGTTATTGGTGTTGTTGTGTACACTTTTTAGGCGTTTATATAATTTATTTATTGTGTACATGTATCGTTACTCGT